GCAATGCTGTTGAAATCATTTAAGTCATGAAGACCTGGTGTTTCGCATCATGCTTCACTGTAGTGTTTCCAAACACTTCCACTTCGGGATTTCGACAATGTGTCAAAACATCAGTTTCACGTTAGCCATCAGTAGAGTAGAGTAAATATGCAATAAGTTTATTGTTATTTTGGGTTTTAAATGTCTCTGGAGCACGACTTCCAGCTCGTCTCCTGGCCGTAAACGGCATCTCTCCGGCTCAATCACTGTGAAGAAACAGGTGTTTTTCATCATTTTGTTTGACCCACTTTTTAAGCCACCGGTTTCTTACCATTCTCTCCCCCGTTGCAGGCCATTCGATCACTCCCCCTCATAACAAATACCTTCATATTTTTGTCTGCTTTTTAGCAAAAGCGTCTAAATGATATAAAAGAAATACACATACTTGAGATGTACTCTAAGATATGTTGATATAAAAAAAAATGTACTAATGCTTACCAAAAGGCTCAACAAATAAACTGAATTAATCTCACTGGAAAAAACAAAACAAAAATACTTCATCAGGAATCATTTTTGCACTGTAAAACGCACACACACGCTTGTATATATGGTTTACGGGGACTCTCCATTGGTATAATGTATTTTATACAGTAAAAAATGCATATTATATGCCCTTACCCTGCACCTTAGCCCTAAATCAAACTATTTAAATGAAAAAAGACATAACATATGATTTTTAAGCATTGTGAATTATGAGGACACAATGAATGTCCTCGTAAACCAGCCTAGTAAAATAAAGTTTTTTTTAAATATAATTATTATAATATAATATATACACACACACACACACACACACACACACACACACACACACACACACACACACACACACACACACATATATTTTATATAATATTGTGAGGCTTGTTTTAACTACTTACATAAAATGAGCTTAAATAAAACAATTCTTGAGATTATTTTTGGAGTAAATTAATTGTTTTATGTTCGATCTACTCAGATGTGTTACATCAACCTAATTGATAAGTGTTGGGACAACCTGAAAGAATTGTGTGCAATTTATTTTTAGTGCATGTCCTCGTAAACCACATAAACAAGTACACACATACACATGATTTCTTGTGATGCGTGAACAACACATAACACCACTGATCATCATCATAAAGCTGTTGATACTGATAGAATGACACAGAAGCTTGATACAGAACACTAAAGTTACATTAAAGCACGGTGAAATCCCAGTGGAATGGGGTGAATTGACAGCCGATAATCTCCATCTAAAGCTGTGTGTTAATGGCCGATAACACACTAAACTAACGTGGAAGATTTTAAAGCTGAGACCCATGCAGAAACAAAAGTAACAACATGCATCAGTTTCTGACCCAATGATATCATATAATCCACTGTCTATGTGTGTGTGTGTGTGAGTGTTTATCAAATTCAGGAGATACAGATCAAAACAAACAGCTTCCTGATAAAATGCTGCCTGACACATTCAAGATAATAATACTGATATCCTGTCAGACGTGAATAAAACAAAAATAAAATGGACACAAAGAAAACTTTTCCATATATATATTACCTCGATTAAAAACATATAATACTGAAATAAATAACAGCAGGGGTTTGAGTCAGTAGTTACTATGCTTTATAGTTCTGTAAAGGATATCCAGTGTGCTTCTGCGCATGCGAGACGCCTCTGATTCTCACAAAAACCTAACATTTGGATGAAACTGTCCAACTTTTTACCTCACGCTGCATGAGGTTTTTAAAGCCAAATTATGATGATTTCTTTGTCAATTCTTTATCACTGCACTTCGAAATACTTACAAATGATATTAAAATTGTTATGTAGATTGGATAAAATTTCTCTGGATTTGTGATTTATGTGGTTGAAGAATCATTTTCTTCTTACAAATAACAAAAAAATTAATTTAGAGCCCTTTTTGCTTAACAAAAAAGGTGCTGTGTTTTCTGACATTTTAAAAAATACTTTTATACATAACCAATCAATATTCATTTTGGTGGAACACTTTAAAAGAGATCCATCCTGGAGGGCCGGTGTACTGCATAGTTTTGCTCCAACCCTAATCAAACAGCTGCCTGTAGCTTTTTAGTGATCTTGAACAGTGTTTCTCAACCACACTCCAGGAGGACCACCAGCTCTGCGCATTTTCTATGTATCCTTAACCAAACACACCTGATTCAGATCATTAGCAGAGAGTGAAAGACCTGTAATGGGTGTGACAGATAAAGAAGACATCCAAAACATGCAGTGTTGGTGGTCATCCATGAACGTGGTTGAGAAATACTGATATTAAAGACACTGATCAGTTTGTCCTGGTGTGCTTGATTAGTGCTGGAGAAAAACTCTGTAGGGACAACGGCCTATCAGGATCGAGTTTGTGAAGGTTAAGGATGAATTTAAAGGAATGGTTCACCCAAAAATTAACATTTTGTCATCATTTACACTCTCTTGACTTGTTTCAACCTTTTAAGAGTTTCCTTTTTTCTGTTAAACACACAAAAAAGATATTTTGAATAATGTTGAAAATCTGTAACCCTTGACTTCCATTGTATTTGTTTTTCTTACTATGGAAGTCAACGGACTTCAGAATCTCCTTTTGTGTTCAACAGGAGAAAGAAACTCATAAAAGTTTGGAACCATTTAAAGGCGAGTAAACAGCAAGTACATTTTCTTTTTTTTGTATGAACTATGATTTTGCAAATGAAAATGTGTTATTTTTATTTCAATTGTCATTTTCTAAAAAATAAGATGATTGTTTTAATTTGAAATTCTGAAAAGATCTGACACTTTTACTCACTTAAACTTTTACATTGTACTAATGAAATCAATCCTCATATATGTGAACTATAAAAAGTGTTTAGTTACTTTATTTTTAAAAATACTGAGTAAACTCATTGTCATAAAAGAAACAGGTTTTATTTGACTTTGAGTAATCCATTGTACTTTTTAAGTTTACTTATTTTTTATAATAATTTTTTTTTTTTACAATTATTCACATATGGTTAATTTAGTTACTAATTTTAAAGGTGCAGTATGTAAATTTGACATCCAGTGGTTGAACCTGGTATTGCATTTCTAAATAAAAACACGCAATGCCAGATTGAGGACCAACAAAAGCGAGTCTGACTATCGAGCCCAACGGCTGATTTAAATCGTGTTCTAACTAAAAGCAATGGCACACAACAGAAGTAATGATTGTTTTTGTTCTAACCAACTCCTCAAATTGATATATTAGAAACTTCTACTAATTCTTGCAGTTGAACAACAGAAAACTGACAAAGATCACCTCAGGTAAACCTCATGTGTTTTATTTAGTGTTAAATGCTAATAATGTGAGTCTGAATGCCATTTTGCATGACATTTATTGCCACACTACTGAAAGCAGCAGCAGATAGTTCACCTCAGATCTTAATATTAAAATAAACCATTTGAAATTGAACTTAAGAACTGACTCAAAACCAACACATAGTGAATCAGCATGTACATTTAATAATGCTAAAGAGGGTTAATATGTATTAATTAGATTATAAACCTAACCATTAGTAAGTGCATATTCTGTGCTTCTAAATGGCTGTTTTTAAAATTCTATCATGTTTCGTTTGGTGCAAAGAGCCAAATTGCTAATCACTGCAAATATCGTCACGTAGCGAGTTGTTAGGACACGGGGTTAAAATGTAACCTGCTCACCAAATGTTTACGTTTGTAATATTTATATTATTTGCTAACTAATAACTACCTCATGTGGAACTCTGAATCTGCATCTCATTTCGGAGTCTGCTACTGTCCACCGGAGGTCGCATTTCAGTCATGATCGCATCCTTTGAGAGCCTTTCTGAATGAATGAATGAAATACGTGGTTTTCCACCAAGACAACCCGGGGTGCTGAATTATAATTGGCTAAAGTGCCATTGGGCGGGTTAAAAGAACCATAACACAGATAGCGATGCAGCACAGAAAACACATTTTCAAAGCAGAATATCTGACTTCAGCATTGCTTTTCAGATAAACAAGAGTGTTCACCTAGCATGTTTACTAAAATATCTGCAAATATAGGCTATTACGATATTTTTATGCTTTAGAAGAGTCAAAAACTTACATACAGCACCTTTAAAGCAACTGGTTTACTCACTATTAAAATAAATTTAAGTAATCGCTTAAAAAGCAACGGGTTTACTCAAATTTTAAAGTAAAGTCCCCACTTCTTACAGTGTAAACAATAGTGATAATTGACATGGAAGAAATGCAATCAACATGTTCCTAAAATATGTTTTTTGTGTGTGTGTGTGTACAAATCTGTCAATTTACTTGATATTTGCCAACATTTTTTCATGAAATTCATACACCTGAATTGTAAAGAGCCAAAACTAAAACTAACTCTCGCTCAGACCTCTGGCTCTTGATATGTTCAACAATGGCAGAGCAGGTCAGTATAAAAGCAAACCCAAACAATCCCATCATGCACTGGGTCTGTGCTCTACCATCTCTTAGCAAATGATTCCTGAATGTCAGAGATGTAAACTTGAGGAAGCTCTTGAGGAAGAGATGCTGAGTTTTCTTTCCATCAGAGTTACACCAGACGTGACAACTAGCTAGCTAGCTTTTAGCTAATCAACATCACCATACGCTACTAACAAATAAACATCTATTCTAATGAAGTCAGCTGAGCTTCAATGTCTTTTGTTACCCTGAAGTCTAAGTTATTTGTCTGATATGGATGAGCGCAGAGGACTAGAGTACGTTCTCCAACTGGATATCCATGTTAGCTAGCATTTGAGAGAAAATAAACAAACAAATATATCTGATAAAGCAATAAATAAAATATCCTAGCATCATACATATTCATAGATATTTATATATGTATACGATTATACAGCCCCGTGAACATATTCTGGCAAAAATAAAAGGCATTAGTGTTAGAATGAATTATTTTGACCTTCGATTTTCCTTCCGTAACGTTCAATAAGTGAAACATCTCTGAAATATTCCAGGGTGAATCTCACCTAAACAAAATCTAGACCACCACGATCAAACAAAAAGAATAAGAATATATTTACCATAAAGAAATTGAAGCCAGTTTTTAGGAACACGTTTTTTTCCACTTTCATTTAAGTATCAAAGTAGATTCTGAATAACATTTTGACTGTTTTTAAGCGAAATGCAGTTATTTAATTAGTAACAAATTTTTAATTTAACTGCAATGTGAATGATATATGAGCAATGTCACACAAGTAGCAGTGCAATATGGCTAGATATCGGCACTGATGGGAGGCGTGGGTTGGCTCGAGGTTGCAGGCCGAGTGCCTTAGTGTCCCACAAGTGATGATATACAGTCATATCGTACTGCTACTAGTGTGAAATTGCTTTTATACAACAGTTCGACGGCATAATTGTGTAAATAAAAAAATTAAACACAAAGTCTAAAAATCCTTTTTTATGAGGAATTACTTTCTTCTGCTATTCATTCACATCTGCAGCTGACGTCAGAACAGCAGAAACCATTGCTACTTCCCAAATGTCACTTTAGAGCTAATATTTGAATGATTCTCTAGCGTAATGTCTAAAGTGATTACAAAACAGGTGATTTTGCTCACATTTTAAGATTATAAGGCTGAACAACATGAAATGCTAGTCTACAGAGATTTACCAGCTATTCTCTCTGTTGCAATCAGGAGATCGCAATAATTAACCCAGGAAAAGCCAAAGCAAGGCAAACACTACCAGATTACTATGGTATAAATACTGCACTACAAAATACAAAAGAGATAGATAGACTTAGAATGTCACTTACCTGTTTTATAATGATTTAATCAGCTGTAGTTAAAATTACAGAGTTTCTCACCTATGAGGGCTTATTATGTGGTCTCTGTCGCCATCTTGTGGCAGATCATCAACCGTCTTTGCTCTGCTCAGTATGACAGGCTGATGGATGCCGATGTGCTGTATTGCCGAAATTATAAACATTTAAAATATAAAACTTAGCACTATCCTTCTAAATAAACTGCATAGTTGCAATCTAAACAACTACATTCTCGCCTCAAAAGTACTTTATGTTGTCCAACAGCAGAGATATTTTTCAAATTGTACTGTGGTGAGTTTATTGATCTGCTGTCACTTTATGTGAGCAGAGTAACACACAAAGGTGAAGAGGCTGTACAAGGGTTGTTATTGCAGAATATCGCACGGCTATCAGCCAATTAGGTTCAAGAACCAGATAGAACTGTTGTATAAATATACAGTTCTTAGAGTAATAGGAATGAATGTGAAAGTTTGGTTATAGTGTCATTAAAATAACAAAAAATCCTAATATTCTAATAATATAACAACATGATATATTTTCTTTATGGTAAATATAGTTTCTTATCACATTTTTATTTGCGTGATCAACACATACGTGACATGTTTGTGAGATTCACCCTTTTATTGAAAACACAAAAAGTGATGAAGAAGAGCAAAAAAGAGGGGATGACATGATCTAAACTGCATTCTTTTTAAGTGTGTGGCTTATTTACCTATGATAATTTTTTTTTCTATTTATATATTTTGGCTCCCCGTTCCTGCCCTGTGACTGGTTGATGTGGGGTGATTGACAGGTCTACACACGAGTGAGGAAGGCCAGATTGAGGCTGCTGGGGATCTGAATGGTTTCCAGGGCAAGGGAGGAGGGGTTAAAGGGGAAGGTCACGGGGTAGATGAGTTTGGTGTCCATCAGAAGCTGAGGCGACTCCTTTCGATCCCGTAAACGAGTCTGGAGGAAGAAAAACTCAGGTTGAAGCATTTACACAAATTCACAAAAAAATATTGACTTGCATATTACAAGTCGTAATATGAAAAAGAGAATTTCTGAAACATACCTGTATTGTTCTGATGAACAACACTGACACTCGCTCTTCAAATGCATTGACAGGTGTGTACAAGTTCAGCACTTTCACAATCTGGGTAGAAAATAAGAGATTATGAGGTTTTTGTAAGTTTGTGTGTGTGCGTTTACATTAAAAACATTTAAAGTATTTTGTGTTATTCTAACATGCAAAGTGTTGCACAGGGATCATTTTAATCTATTAATATTACCACAGTAAACCAGACAATAGTTCCTAGTTGACTGACAGAAAGGTTGACATTCTTATTAAACTGAACCATATCAGTTTTATTTTCACTAGAACTACACCAGCATTCTACCACTACTCTGCTACCAGTGTGATACGCAGAATATATTTCTAACAAACTGAAATACTGGGTTTTTATCCATTTTATCCATGTAAATTGGCTTTGAGGCAATTTTCATCGTAGTCAATTCAATTCAATTCAATTCAAGTTAATTTGTATAATGCTTTTCACAATAATTACTGTTTCAAAGCAGCTGTTTCAAATGTGCACATTATTGTAATACAATCAAATTCGGAAAAGTTAAGGTTATTATTTACCAAACCATTAAAAGTTACCATTAACTTCAACTAATTGACTAGTAACTAATAGCTCAACAGTTATTATATATAAACATAGTTAACCTGAAGTTATATAGTATATATAGTATAAAGCGCTGTAGAAATAAAGTTGACTTGACTAGATCAAGAGATTAGACAGTCAGACAGACTTACAGAGACAAAAGATGATAGACAGACAGATAGATAGATAGATAGATAGATAGATAGATAGATAGATAGATAGATAGATAAATAAATAGATAGATAGACAGATAGATAGATAGATACCTGTGCTGTGGAGAGGGCGTTACACATAGAGCAGATGGCCTCGGCGTCCTCATCAGTTTTCTTCTTCACCTGCAGTAGTTGCGCAGCCTGAATCAACGGCTCCAGTGTTTCTTTAGCGCCGCATGTCATGAGGTTCTTATCCCTCAGCCATTCCTCCAGCTGACTCACGTTATACCTGAACAAACACATAATAAAATATAATAAAATATAATATAATATAATATAATATAATATAATATAATATAATATAATATAATATAATATAATATAATATAATATAATATAATATAATATAATATATATTTTTTAGCTTATTACGATGTACCCATCGTCTGATGGCTACTTCAAGCAGGATAAAGCCCCATAAAACACTACAATATCTACAATATATATCTACAAGCTTAAATTTCAATTAGATTATTTTACTACATATTTAAATAGCAAATTCCATGATCCATCCATCCGTCCGTCTGTCTGTTTGTTTGTCTGTCTATAAGTCTATCTAGCTATACCATTCACCTATCAGGGATTAATTTCCATTTCTGAGTTTTGATTTGGGACCAGAGACCTTTAGAAGACCAGTATCATGCCATATGAAAAAAGGATACTAGTAGTATAAACATATAAAACAACAGAACATACTGATGTAAAAATATATGAATTTCCTTTAAGCCATAGGTCTCAAACTGGATTCCTGGAGGGCCGCAGATCTGCACATTTTTGCTCCAACCCTAAGCAAACACAGCTGATCCAACTAATCAAGATGTTCAAGACTACTAGAGACTATTAAGCAGGTGTGAGTTGGAGGTGGCTGGAGCTAAACTATGCAGAGCTGCGGCCCTGCAAGAATTTAGTTTGAGGCCATTGCTTTAAGTCAGTCATAAAGACCAATATATATTTATATATATTTTTTTCATCTGGTCTGCATATACAGTGTTTACAGTGCACTAACCTGATCTGCATGCCCTTGCTCCAGGAGCACATGTCTTTGCGCAGCAGCAGGTTGTTGAGGGTGACAGCGCCGATGATGTAGAACTGCTGCTTGACCACCTGTTTGATGAGCTCGGGGTCAGTGCCGTGGTGACACATGATGGAGTGGAAGGTGTTGAGCTGACGGATGATGGAGTCCAGTGTGTACGTGCCCTCATCAGCAATACTTGACGTCCTCTTGCGGAGACCTGTGGGCTTCACTCCTGACACACCCTGGATGGTTTCATGTTCCAGCATGCCAGAGACTGACGACAGCAACAAAAAGAGGGATTAATACACAAGAAAAGAGATACCGATTTGTAATGCACCAACCTGGATGCTTTCATGGCAGATTCCAACTGCAGTTTTTTTTTTTACAAGCAAATTGATCAATTCCAATAACTCTTTCCCCCCCTTATTACATTTATTTATGTACATTTATAACCATTTGTATGGTGTAACTGTTCCTGGGTCTGTTGGACCTGCTCCATCAAATATTTTACTAGAATTGCAAGCAATATAAACAGCATTGATGGATAATATTTTTCATTATACACTCACCAGACACGTTTTTTAAGATCACCTTACTAGTATCAGATTGGACCCCTTTTGCTTTCAAAATGCCTTAATTCTTTGTGGCGTAGATTCACAAAGAGACTTTGTTCTATATTCACATAATAGCACATCCCAAAAGTGCTCTACTGGATAACGATCTGGTGACCGTGGAGGCCGTTTAAGTACAGTAAACTCATTGTCATGTTCAAGAAACCAGTCTGAGATGATTCGTGTTTTAGGGGGCTTTATCCTGCTGGAAGTAGCCATCAGGCGATGAGTACACTGTGGTCAAAAAAGGCATGGACATGGTCAGCAACAATACTTAGGTAGGCTGTGGCGTTGACACGATGCTCAATTGGTACTAAAGGGCGCAACGTGTGGCAAGAAAATATCCCCCACACCATTACACCATCACCACCAGCCTGAACTGTTGATACAAGGCAGGATGGATCCATGCTTTCATGTTGTTGACACCAGATTCTGACCCTACCATCAAGACTCATCAGACCAGGCAGTAATTTTCCAATCTTCTATTGTCCAATTTTGGTGAGCCTATGCAAATTGTAGCCTCAGTTTTCCTGTTCTTAGCTGACTGGAGTGGCACCCGGTGTGGTCTTCTGCTGCTGTAGCCCATCCGCCTCAAGGTTCAACGTGTCGTGAGTACAGAGATGTTCTTCTGCATACCTCGGTAGTAATGAATTAGTCAGTAGTTTTCTGACCATTCTCTGTAAACCCTAGAGATGGTTGTGCATGAAAATCCCAGTAGATCAGCAGTTTCTGAAATACTCAGAACAGCCCGTCTGGAACCAACAAACATGCCACGTTCAAAGTCACTTAAATCACCCTTTTTCCCCATTCTGATGCTCAGTTTGAACTGCAGCAAATCGTCTTGACAATGTCTACATGCCTAATTGCACTGAGTTGCTGCCATGTGATTGGCTGATTAGAAATTTGCATTAATGATAAATTGGAGAGGTGTGCCCAATAAAGTGGCCAATGAGTGTATGTACTTTTTGCACTTGATGCATGTATAGCCAAGTGTGTATACTGTTTATATTTTGATAAAACAACATGAGTTTCACAGACCCAAACACCATATAAAGTTTAAATGAAAATACCACTAGATGATTATAGTTTTACTATGTTTTACTCTGATGGAATTGACACATATCCTGCTCATTTTTCAGACTTTCAGTAAAGAAAACTTTACAATGTAGGTCAATATTTGTAACATTTGTTAAAGTTAATAGAGAATATAGAATAATGGAGAACATCTCATAATGGAGTGCTCAGTTATTCCTTTGTGTCACCTGTGCTGCTTGCAAAAAACACTAAAGCTGCATACTAAATCACATACGTATGCACTATTCTACGCCATTTTGTAGTATAAATAGTGTAGGTAGTGTGTTCACACTGACAACTCAAAAAATAATAAGTGCACTTTAATTACCTGGATGATGCACTCATTCAAATGGTAAAATGGAATGATGAGCTACGTCTCAAATGCCACACTATACACTATGCACTCATGTACTATGTACTTATGCACTTACTCAACAGGATAGTAGATGTATGTAGTGCTGTCTCAAATGGAACACTAATGTTTTTTTACTAGGCGGAAATTCAAACCGTTTCCCTGACGACGTTTGACGGTTGCCAAATCAGTGAAATAAATGACAGAATTATTAAATAATACCTGCCTTGAGTATAACCGCATTCACCATCGGGAAGTGCTATAATCACTCTTGTAGGAGAATTTTGCTTTCACCATCCAAAATAAATAAAGTTATCCAACATGTGCGCCCGATAGCTCCGCCCCTTCCGCTATGTGAGCAAACATGCAGTCGTTGAGTGCGTGAAGTGTCCAACATTCCACACATTATTTTAGCGGCTGAATGAGTGCATCATCCGGGTAATTAAAGTGTACTTATTATTTTTAGAGTTTTCAGTGTGAACACACTACTTACACTATTTATAACTCAAAATGAAGGAGAATAGTGCATAAGTATGTGATTTGGGACGCAGCTATGGACACTTTACGCACTCAACGGCCACATTTTTACTCATGTAGCGGAAGAAGCGAAGCTATCGGGTGCACATGTTGGATGGCAAAAGCAAAATTCTCCTACGAGAGTGATTATAGCGTCTCCCGATGATGAATGCGGTTATACTCAAGGCAGGTATTATTTAATAGGTTGCTCATTCATTTCACTGATTTGGCAACCGTCAAACTTCATCAGGAAAACGGTTTGAATTTCCGCTTAGTAAAAAAAACATTAGTGCTCCATTTGAAACGACACTACACATATATACTATGCTGTTGAGTGTGTAAGTGCATAAGTACATAGTGCATGAGTGCATAGTGTGCTATTTGAGGCGCAGCTTAAGTCTGTTGTAACATCTGTTCTCTGTTCATTCTCAATTTACACACCACATACTTTGTAGTAATGTAAAATAGACTATTGCAACGTGGTCATGTCATTAGCCTATAAACATTTTTTTTGAACATTGCTTGTTATCAAACTATGTCCTAACTGTAACAAGGGGCAATTCAATCATAAGGTAATGTTATAACAGTTATCATACCATTATTTATCAATATGTGTTTTTTTTTTTAATTCCCGGAAGCTATATATAAATTAAAAATGTAAAACAGGAAATACATTGGGACCGTTGTTATTGTTTACGTCTCTCAAAATGGTCTATATTATCACTAAAATGCATTTTATATGCATGTCCGCAACAGAAATACACTAAAATTAAACAAAACAAAATGGCTGGCTGCCAATCACACGTTCCAATTTATAGCTGTTCAATTGGTGCATCTCTGATACAGATCAACATAAATACAGACCCAGAGGTCTCATGCTCACCGATCATGGGCTGCAGGATGTTTTCCATACACTTGATGAGCTGCTGGTAGATCTGAATGGCCAGATCGCTCAGAACCTGCCGGTACTCTGCCAGGTCAAAGTTAGAGAGACAGTGTTCGTTCTGCTTTGGGCTATTATGCTTCATGAATTGCTAGAGAAATAAGGAGAGCAATGGGTTAATAGTGCCATTTGAACGTTGAATTAATAAGATTTTTCCAATACATTTCCATTAGGTTGAGATGAAAACGCTCAAATTGGTTATCAAAATGACCAATATGACACTTAAATGAATGAGCTATGGACTGAAATCAGATTGGGGAGGATTGGAGACAAGTTACATTTTAAATGTGACCTGTAAGTAAATCAACAAAAGATTATTCTTAAACCCTCATACTGTCGTCAGATTTTTTTTCTAAACATGCATACAATGTATGAGCAGCTCGCATGTGGGCTATGAATCATTTTTGCACTACTTAGTTTGTCCACTAGATGTCAGGATTCAACTTCAATATTTTTTTGTCTTCCAGTTAGAAAAAAAAAATCGAAAAAAAAACAGCACTACTGAAGACGGAGGATAATCATAGACACGATGAGTTGAAAAGTCCATTTGTGAATGAAATATTACATATCAGCTACTGCACTTTAATCAAGTAAAAGCGAGGATTGAGCTCAGGCAGGTCTTGAGAACTCCCCTGGTTTATGTAGAACCTAAGAGAGATTATAGGGAGATATAAACTGCTGACTGAAAGGCATAAGTAGGAGCTCATCTATGGTGTCAAATTGGTTTAGTCAATTCACTTATGTCACGTCTTTGGAGTGTTGGAGGAAACGGCAGAACCCAGGGAAAACCCATGTGAGCACATGTAAACTCCTCACAGAAACACAGACTGGCCTAGTAAGGACTTGAACCAGTGACGTTCTTGCTGTAAGACAACAGTGCTAACCACTGAGCCACCATGCCTCCCTATCAAGGGAAAGGGAGGAGGAATAGGGTGGAAGATAACTAAGGTAGGAAACTCTGGTCATTTATAGTGTGTTAGGATTCATCTGATTGGTAAATCATGTGGTTAGCTAACACAGGACCAGCTGAGGTCAATCATAAACATGTGATCTACTAGAAATTAGTTTATGAATAAACTTCACATATTCTTGTGATGGTGTGTGATTTCTCACCTCATCACCACTGTACTGTTTCAGGCAGTGCAGAAAACGACATGTGTTGGCCAACCAGAAGGAAACAGTCTCAAAGTCATCACCTCGTTTCTGTGGAGTTATGGGAAAGGGAAACAACAATTCTTAATTATTTACTCTTAACAGTGATTATGCTTTTATAATACAAATTTACAGTTTGTAAATTTTGTAAGTTGCAACATTATAAACATGAATTGCGTGAGTGATTCGAGACCTTGAGGATCTTCTTGATGCTGTTGATGACGGAGGTGAGTAGAGATCGCACTTTCTGGTCATCGTTGATGTAGTCAGCATGGCGCAGACACATGAAGAGGATGTATGCGGGCAGACCTGGTATCAGATTCACTGCAACACCACGAGGCTTCAGCTCTGGCAAAATTACAGATGGAGCGGTCAGCGATAGTCCTCTTTTTTTACTTTTATTAAGGCATTTTAGAATGGGGATAAGAATTGATGGATACATGGTTTTAAAATGGGTGAGTGAGTATTTGCTGAGGTCAACTAATAATATTATCAAGATTTTTACACCAAATTACATTTTATTTTTGAAGCAATTTGACTATGTTTTGACCCCTCATCAGAACTCTCTGTTTGAATAGCCGTGGCAGATAGCTGCAGACTCAAACGTTAACGCCCACTGACTTGATTGGCTAACAGATTTGCATATTAACAGGGCTGAACAGGCAGTGAAGTAAAAGTTGGTGTTGCTTTTCTGTGGAGGCGGGGCTTATTCCACCCTATTACATCATAGAACAGAACATTTCATTTCTTGTCATTTTGGCAGACTGCCCTCAATATAAGCTGTTGTTAGAATAACAACAAAGTTTAGAGCTTCGAAAATTACAGGTTTTCATAGTACTGTGACCTCTTTTATATCCAAAGATCAAGGTAATTTTGGTTTCTCAGTTCATGACCCCTTTAAAATCATAACACACCAAACTGGAAGTGAAGAGCAATCAGCTGTGAGTAAAACGTTATGCTCGACACACAATAGAAAGCATACTGGCAGTGAACTGTCTATATCGGCATAGTGGCCTATATTTGTAATTTAAAAGAGAAACTACTGTACTGTATTTTTTGATTTTTCAGAAGAGCACTTGCATTTTTAGCAATACATAAGGTTTCATTGGACACAAGCCCTTACTTAATTATTACTTTGATTAAAACAAGCAGAGGGCCCAGAATATTACTGTAGTTACCATTAACAATCATTGCCTTTTTAGGAACCAGACAAGTTCTGTACACATGTATTGCTAATTTAGGAAATTTGCTTCTTTATTTAAATGCGGTTGTCACTGTTGAACCTGCGACTCCTTACAGATTGTATGATGTCTTAATAGATTTCTTTATTAGTTTTGTAATTGTTGGTGTACAGTATGTATCTTACCAAGTATGATATTTTTGACCAGTTTGAGTTCATCCTCTTTCTTGTATTCCAGCATGCCCTGGAAATCTTTCTCTCTGCGTGGAATGTTCACCGGATGAACAGGCTCGTCAGCCGTTTGTCCGGGAGACACGTCCATCTGCCCCCCTAAAATACATAGACAAACAACCACATCAACAAAAGTTAAAAGTTTGTGCCCATCTAAAATACAAACTCATGCGTGCCAAAATATATATAGATAAACCTCCACATAAACAAAACTTCAGACTTGTGTCGGCCTAAAATACATAGACATTTTCATAAACTAAAGTTTAAGGTTTGTGACTGCCAAAAACATATAGAAAAACATCCACATAAACAAAAGTTAAGACTTGTGATTGCCTAAAATACTAAACAAACATCCACATAAACAAATGCTGACTAATGTCTGCCTAAAATACATAGACAAACATTCATATTAACAAAAGTTGACTCATGCATGCCTAAAATACAGACAAACATCCACATAAACTAAATTCAAGACTTGTACCTGCCAAAAATATATAGACAAACTTCCACATAAGCAAAAGTTAAGACTTTGTGATTGCCTAAAATACATAATATATCATCCACATAAAGACAAGTTTAGACTCGTCCACACCTTAAATATATAAACAAACATCCACATAATCAAACGCTGACTTATGTCTGCCTAAACAACAGACAAACATCCACATAATTTAACACTGACTGATGTCTGTCTAAAATATATAGACAAACGTTCATATTAACAAAAGTTGACTCGTGCCTGACTAAAATAAATAAACAAACCTCCACATAAACTAATTCAACCCTACAGAAAAATCCAGCTTAAACCAGCCTAGGCTGGTTGGCTGGATTTAGCTGGTCGACCAGCCTGGTTTTAGAGGGGTTTTGGCCATTTCCAGGCTGGTTTCCAGCCATTTCCAGCCTGGTCTTAGCTGGTCAGGCTGGAAAATGACCAGCCAAATCCAGCTAAAACCAGCTTGACCAGCCTGGTTTAAGCTGGATATAGCTGGTTTTGGCTGGACTCCCAGCTTGGCTAGGCTGGTCAAGCTGGTTTTAGCTGGTCATCTCCCAGCCTGACCAGCTAAGACCAGGCTGGAAATGGCTGGAAACCAGCCTGGAAGTGGCCAAAACCCCTCTAAAACCAGCCTGGTCAACCAGCTAAAACCAGCCAACCAGCTTAGGCTGGTTTAAGCTGGATTTTTCAGCAGGGAAGATTCATACCTGCCAAAAAAATATGGACAAACATCCACATAAACAAAAGTTAAGACTCATGCACACCTTAAATATATAAACAAACCCACATAATCAAAAAATGACTGATGTCTGCCTAAAAAACATAGACAAACATTCATAAAGTAAATGATTTAACTATATTTATATGTATTTTTATATTCTGGGTAAGGCATAAAAAAAAAAGTTCAACCACTTAAATATTGTCGGACCGACATCCCTCATAATCTTGACAAATAGCCAAAACTGTCTGCCAGCAAATGTAGATTTGTACAATGGTGCATCTCTGTCTACGCAGATCCACCATTAGCGCTTACATGCCTGCATGTGCGCCTGTTTGCGTGCCGTGCATTCATGTGCACACGAGAAAATCCCAGTCATGGTAAAACAAATGCTTTTTGAAATCCTGAACCAATATTGGAGTTACTTTTGCACGCTGGAGGAATGACGACACCATGGCTGAAGTATTTCTTTTATGTGTAGTATGTGTATGTGGCTATTGTCAGTTTCATATGGGACCTTTTACAGCATCGATAATGTCGATTTTTATTTTGTTTAACAACAAAACATAAGTCAATTTCGCAATTCCGCCTAGCCTGCTTTACTGAGGTCAAGTTGGTTTTACATTGGTTCATTTTTGAACAATGACAGCCTGTGATGTTCTCCTGTTGTTTACCACTACTCTTAATATTCGCTCTGAAATAGCATGTAAGTAACCACTAACTACATTTCTAACTGGCGAATGATATGAACTAGTGGGTTGTCTGCTGTCATGCACGCGCTCGTGTTTCAGGATGCGTGACTTTGGACAGCAGGGGAGGGACTGTTTCAAAGGTATTATGCTAACCGGTTAGCATTTTGGCAGATCACCTACTGCACCTTTAAAAGAAATAAACATCTACATAAACGTCTGCCTAAAAAACATAGACAAAACTTCACATAAACAAAAGTTGACTGATGTCTGCCTAAAATACATAAACATACACATAAACAGAAGCTAAGACTCGTGCCTGCCTAAATTACCTAGGTAAATATCCACATAAACAAAAGTAAAACTCATGGCTGCCTTAAATAAATATACAAACATTCACATAAACAAAGGTCAAGACAGAGTATATTAAATGTAAATTTGATCATTCTCATAGATTACAGGTCATTCTTGGACGGAGTTATGACACGTACCTTCCAGATCATTGATCTTCTTAGCAAATACTTTGAGCTGTTTCTTCAGCTTACGAACGGTCTTGTCCTGTTTCTCCAACTGCTCCATAAGATCCTGTCACAACACAGACACATATCATCATCAGATCATGCTAGCAGCACAACTAGAGTTTCTTTGGCAGGAGTTGGAAAATAGGGTTTATTTTAGTTAATCGGGACAAAGCAGGTCAAACTGCAACAATCTGAAGATATCAGCTCTGTCTTTCATCGCTCCATGCAACTCATTAAACGGAGAAAAAAAGTAGAGAAAAAGAAACAAGGTTGGGTGAATCTCACAAATAAAACTCCATTCCAATGCATAAAAAAAAAAAAAAAAAGTAAGCTAAATAAAACAAAGCATCCTTTAAAACAAAACAAAAAAATAAATAAATCATATATATTGTATTTTATAAATAATTATTAATAATATAAATATTGGATGATGGTTTCTGTGAAATTCACCCAGATATTGAGAGAGAAACATTAAAAAAGGTGTGCTGATTCACACGGCTGTGGGTTAAACACACAGTTAGAGTTCAACGCAGCTCAGATTCTTTGCAACACACACTAGTGCCAGTTAGTGTTCAGATACATGCGCGCACACATACACACACACACACTCGTACACACACAATCCTACATACAACCATCCTGCGTAACATGCTGATTCTGTAGGCTTTATACTCCTTTGGATCATCAGAGTGAAGTTCCTGTGAATGAAACACCTCCACATCAGACGAGCCCTCAAACGCCACGGCACAGCACTCAGACCCAAAATCACACTCCAAGATTTCATTAGTGAGTAAATCTGAAATCATTTATTCAGAATCACAGAACATAACTGATAACGGGGTTATTTTTTCATTTGTTTTCAATGGGAGCACTGGGAAAGTGTGCTCCACTGTGACAAGAAGGCACTGGCAGAAAAAAAAAAAAGAAAAAAAAAAGTCACATCTGGCACAAGTGTAAATATAAAAATCCCATTTTTTATATCCTTTTTGAGCCACTTTAAAATGTGGATTTCATTTGAATTCATATCAGTTATCCAGACATTCAGCCTGTATCTAAACGCACGTCATGATTTTGCCAAGTACGATACGATCCTGGATTAACAGCTACACTAACTGGCCACTTTATTAGGTATATGTCCAACTGCTTGTTAACACAAATTTCTGATCAGCCAATCACATGGCAGCAACTTAATGCATTTAGGCATGTAGACAGGGTCAAGACGATCGGCTACAGTTCAAATCGAGCATCAGATTGGGGTGTTGGTGCCAGACGGGCTGGTCTGAGTATTTCAGAAACTGCTGCTCTACCAGGATTTTCACGCACAACTATCTCTAGGGTTTACAGAGAATGGTCCGAAAAAGAGAAAATATCCAGTGAGCGGCTTGGATGTGCAGCTGTGGAATATTTCCAGTACCTTGTTGAATCTATGTCATGAAGGACTAAGGCAGTTCTGAAGTCAAAAGGGGGTCCAACCTGGTACTAGAAATGTGTACCTAATAAAGTGGCCGGTGAGTGTATGTTGATCCTAGAACATAATTTTTGCTCATAAATTTAATCCATACCTATTCCCTACCCCTAAACCCAACCATAACTGTAAATTATTTCCAAAATCAGAAAGGAATATTAGTTAGATCAGGGGTTCCCAAACTTTTTTATTCCGGGACCCACCTAGGCAAGTAATTCAATCACAAGACCCACCATAATATTTTAATATGGTAAAATAGGTTAAAAATGTATCCATTCAAAGCAGTCAAAGGTATTTGGTGAGTGGCTTTTTGGATTTTGCGATTCGATATGCACAAAATGAGGCTCGAAATGCTTTTTGTGGGATGCTGGCTGTAACCGTGATCATTTTTTGTTGACGAAGATACTTTTCTATTTTTAGAAGAGAATATGATCAACCTCTGTTGACATGCAAAATGTTTTGTTGTCAGGTGTCATTAAGTTTTAAGGGTTTCATGCAAACACTTGCAAGCTTTTCTAAGCATAAAAGAAAATGCAGGACATCCTCACCCTCTGGACCTCTGCCAGCAATAAAACTAAGATTGAGGTAAGACTGATCATATTTTCTGTGTGGCTATTTTTTAGATTTGGTTTGATTTGAAGACGTATCAGAAGTCTGCAACGGAAAACAGAATCGTCTGTAAAGAGTTGTTCTTCATTATCATACTGGTTTTGATTCACCGCAATGTAAATATAGCTGCAGCTGAGTGACGTTGCACGTCCCACCTTTCCTCACTGTGCGACCCACTAGTGGGTCGCGACCCACAGTTTGAAAACCCCTGAGTTAGATAACAATCATGTAGAAGTGCATAAACCTAACCGTAAGCCTAAATTGAATATAAACTGTGAACGTATTCCTAAACTCTGATTGGCTGATTGAAATGTTGCTCCAGGATCGACATAGATGTTAATCCAGGCACGTGTCACTTGGTGAAATCAGGTTAGGTATGTCTAAACGCCTACATACAATTCACATCAGTTATGATCATTACATTAAACATCATCCTATCATATCTATTGAAAGCTTAAGTAAGAAGGGGTTGACTTTAAGCTTAGACTTCATTAGGCAACAACAGTGTGAAGCTTTTGGCATCATATTTAAAAAGACTGGAGGCTGTAATTGCTGCCAAAGGTGCATCAACAAAGTGTTGAGCAAAGGCTGTGAATACGTATGTGCATGTGATTTTTCAGGATTTTTATTTTTAATAAATTTGCAATAATTTCAAAAAATCTTTTTTCACATTGTCATTATGTGGTATTGTGTGTAGAATTTTGAGGAAATAAGTGAATTTTTATATATATATATATATATATATATATATATATATATATATATATATATTATCACCAAAAATGTGGCCATGTTGTTTATTGTGACAGGCCTTTTGCTCATTTCTACAAATCAATCCATGATTATGATACACCTATGATGTCAGGTGATGACATTTTTGTAGTTTTAATCTTTGACCGAAGAACAATGTTATGTTTAAGTCAATGGCCAGTCCAGTTGGATGCTGAGAACCACATATATTTAAGCGCGAGTGGAGTGTTTGTACTGACCAGGTTCTCGTTGGTGAGGCGTGTGATCTCGTGCTGTAGACTGGCTTCAATCCTGGCCTCTGGAGGTAGTTGCAGGTTCTGCGCCAACAGCTGCTGCTGACGGTTGTTCTCCTCCTTAAGACTGTGCAGCTCTCCACGCAAAACTTCCACCTCGTTGTCATGAGAGCGACGTTGAGCCTGCAACTGAGACTCCAACAGCCTGCGCAGACACACACAGAGATACAGGTTTTGAGTAGAGTATACTAATGAAAATTTACAGTTGAAGTCAGAACAATTAGCCCTCCTGAACTATTAGCCCCCTTGTATATTTATTTTCCCCCCAATTTGTTTGACAGAAAGAATATTTTTACAGGACATTTCTAAACATAACAGTTTTAATAACTCATTTCTAATAACTGATTTTTTTTCTCTTTGCCATGATGACAGTACATATTATTTAATTAGGCAATAGCACATAATAATCAGGCAAGTTAGGGTAATTAGGCAAAACATTGTATAATGATGGTTTGTTCTGTAGACTATTAAAAACAAATGCTTAAGAGTGCTAATAATATTGACCTTAAAATGGTTTAAAATAATAAAACAAAACAACTAAGACTTTCTCCAGAAGAAAAAAATATTATAGGAAAAACTGTAAAAAATTCCTTGCTCTGTTAAACATCATTTGGAAAATATTTAAAGAAATTCCTAGGAGGGCTAATCATTTTGACTTCAACTGTGCTTCTTTATCAGAGCGGTGTTAGATTCTGTTTTGAGACAGAAGCACTAAAGGAATGGTTCATTCAAAGATTTCAATTAACTTTATTTCTATAGTGCTTTTACAATGTAGATTGTGTCAAAGCAGCTTAACACAGAGTTCTAGTAAATTTAAACAGTCTAGTTTTGATTTATTAATAGGCACACATCAATTTTTTTTTTGTTTTGAAATTAATTTCAGTAATATTAAAATGTTCATATGATTTATCTACAATACACCTTTTAAAGTTATAGTTTCTGTCTTTAAGTAGATACAGTATATTATATAAGGGACTAGCTTTGTTTATCAATTAAGTGAATCTAACTGGATTTGCATTGTAAACATTAAATAAAAGTAAAAAAAAAATCATTTAGCATAAATTAAATTTTGTTTTTATTTTTTATTTTTTTACAAAATTATGTGCAAAAATATCAAAAATTTCCGCAGATTCTGTCTGACAATTTATTAGTAATGGTTTATTAACACTTGTACAATTTACAACTATAAGGAGAAATTCAAATGGACTTTATTTTGCTTTGTATCACATTGGGATGATTTAACCTATAATAGACAATCAGATTAAGGGTACATTTAACAATAGCGTACTAAAAAAATGAAAATTTCATTGATATTATTGAAATGTTTTGTATACAGAACAGTCAAAATTATTCCTGAACATTTAATGTGCATGTACATGATGCAAACACTTCTTTATTTTAATTTTAATATAAATTAGATGATAACGGTCTTGTTAAAAAAAAAAAAAGTACATTTTTAAAACCTATTATAAAAACATGGCATTTTAGGTCCTCAAAATAGTGTAGACGTTTAAAGGAACTGTCAAAAATAATAATAATAATAAAAAAATCACATGTAATTGTGCAAATACCCTCAGAAATAGTTATTATTCCATTTTTCATATTTTTTTATTATTTATTATTTCAAAATGCTTAGAAAAAAGTTTTTTTCAATTTTATTTTGGTTTAACCTTTGCTATTTATGTCATTTTAATTTTCATTTCATTATCATCGAATTAAACAAAATCTATAATCCACTAGCTAAAAAATGGATCTACCATTTGGTTCTCAGACAAAGCCTTCAAAAGATTTGGGATATGGTACATTTGTGGCATTTTTGTATTATCATTAGTAAATTATTTTATTATTTATTAGTTTTATGGTCTTTAAAACCTGAAAGTCATTATGAACCTTGATTAAAGATTTTAAAAACTTGTTGTAACAAACAGTATTTTGAGTGAACCATTCCTAAAAAGAGAAGAACTTGTCCATTTTTTTTTCTTGCAGTGCAGAAGTCATCATTCAGACCTCATTTATGACCACTTTATTTCCACATGCTGTTTTTAAAAAAGACTTCTGCAATCCAATCTCATTTTGGTTAGTCAAGTATTAACACTACAAAGAGTTCTTGCAAGTTTTGATCCATGACACTCTACTAGGAGAACATTCTGCAGGCACTAATGTTTAAACAGCACAAGGTTAGATGAATACTATTTTAGAAATCAGTGAGGATGGAGAGATGAGAAAGCTGAACGCTCAGACTTTACGCTCTTTTCCACATGCTCTCATCTCTCTCTGTTCTTTAACCTGTTAGTTTCCTTTAACCCTTCATAAACCAGCCACAGTTCTCCATCCTCATTCAGCTTATGGTAGTCAGGGAATGGGGATCTGATGGGGTGGAACAAAGAAAGAAATGGTAAAGATGAAAAAAAAAAGGGACAAACAAAAAACGTGAGACAAAAGACATAAATGTTGATGTAAGTGTCATCTTAAGGAATTTTGGAGATTTTTAAAGGGTTAGTTCACCAAGAAATTAAAATTTTATCTTGATTTGCTTAACGTTCGTATATACAAGACTTCCAATCTGAGTTTTGTTAAAATGATCCTTTTTTTTTTTAGCTGTACAATGTTGATGAGAGGCTAATTTTAATCAGAAAAAAAGTCCAATAAGTCAAATAAAGCGCATCCATCCTTATTATAAAGTGCTTTTTTGTGTAACTTCTAATGAGCACTGTTTTCATCATCTTCTTCTTCTTTTGAGGTGCATTAGCGCCCTCAGGTGGACATGACTGTGTTTTATTTATCTCTCTTCACTGAGAGACGCACCAAACTTGGTGCACCTCAAAAAAGGTGATGGCGATAGACGACGCTTACCTAAAGTTATAAAGTTTTAAATATAGATATTTACAATTACAAAATGCATGGATTCGTTTTAGACCACAGATAAAAATCAGCCACTTGTTTCCATTGTAGAAAAGCCCAAGATAATATTTTTTTTAATTACTCCAGACTGGATTGGACCAAAAAAAAGTAAGTCATATACACCTTAAAGGGATAGTTCACCCAAAAATACAAACATAATCACTGTTTATTTACCCTCAAGTGGTTCCAAATTCTTATGAGTTTCTTATTTCTGTCGAACACAAAAGATATTTCGAAAAAAAGCTGAACACCTGTAACCACTGACAGTCATAGTAGGCAAATCAAATACAATGGAAGTCAATGATTACATGTTTCCTCAAGATATCGCCCTCAAGTGTTCAACAGAAGAAAGTCAAACAGGTTTGGAACAAGTAGTGTGATTAAATGATGACAGAACTTTCAGGTTTGGGTGAACTATCACTTTAAGGGTGAGTAAATCATGAGATAATTTGACATTTTTGAGTGAACAAACCCTTTTTTTAAAGGACTGTACACTCAATATAGAAAACATAAGAAAAAATATGAGGAACAGTGGTGTGCAATTCAAGTGCAGCTAAGATTTGATTCCAAACCACAAAGAAATGTGTTCATCTTTACACAAAACTCTGATAAATTAGACTTTAAATTGACTTTTTAAAACAAACAATGTTCACTCAGAAGCTTACTCATGCTTGTTTGATGGGCCAAGGTTTATTCTTGCTCACAAGACCAGCACATTTGAACTTTTACCAAGAACCAATGAGGTTTGTTTTTGCAAATCAAACTGAGAAGTTTGAAAAACTGTTTATGTTCAATGATTCATGTTCCAAGCCAATAAAATCTTCTATTAAATCAGTTCATCATACAAATTGCTTGTGCCTCCTCAAAAGATTGAACCACTTGATTTACTTAATTCGTTTAAGTTCTGAAGATAATTGAACTACTTATGGGTAGGCCCATTCTGTCTTTTAGGGAATGTATCGCAGTATATAAGAGACCTGCTGTAGCTTTGTTTACCACTCAAGCGGTTCTAAATGGATTTGCATTGTAAACCTTTAATAAAAGTCATCAAAATCATTGGAGTTTCACAGAAATGGCCAAAAAAAAGGCCACAGATTCTGCCTGGAACTGCCTATGGGTTGGATTGACATAAGGGTGAGCAAATTGGGATTATTTTGGGGAACTGACCCTTCAAGTATATTTTATTTAGATGATTATTAATGAAGATTATGAACAGATGACAGATATTTAGGGAAAAACAAACAAACAAAAAGTAAAACAGCACACAAATACGTAAGTAAATGTAAACAGTAAACATCAAGAAGATAATGGTAAAAATTAGAATTGAAACAATTAATCGTAAAAAAATGTCATTCCTTCATTGGCGCCAATGAGCTATTTCACATGCATAAGAAATGGCATTCATCCAGTTTCACTGCTTTGCATATCAGTATTACACTGTGGCTCTAAGCGTGGTTCTCACAGCCTGTTAAACCAAGTGCAAAGCCATCACCCAAAGTAATTGCTACATTTCTTTTGTTTTGCACCTTTTCAGCAGAACCGACCAAACTCTAAGTATATATATATATATATATATATATATATATATATATATATATATATATATATTTATTTATTTATTTATTTATTCATCTGTGTTTATTCAGTAATCACAATCTGTAAAAAAAAAAAAAAAAAAAAAAACCTTTAGAAGGATACAAATGCTGATGACAAAGGTGACGCATTGTTTAAACTGGAGTATAATTTATAAATAATAATGTTGTTGTGTTATAACCCATTTCATATAAACTCTCCTCTAAACGCTAAAGCAAAATAGAGTTTGCTCTACACCAGTTATAAAAAATTTGATTAGATTTTTTATTTAATTAAAAAAAGTATCTTACATTATCCTCACCAAGGCTGCATTTGAACACTTACTGTATACACAAAAATATAAAGACTGTCAACTATTATTACAATGTAAAAAACAGTTTTCTGCATCAATATATTTTGAATCCGTTATTTAGTCTTCAAAGTCATATGATCATTTGGAAAACAATTGTTTTAAGTCGCTTTTCCACTGTACGGTATGCTTTGACACTGCTTGGTTCAGTTTAAAGTTGGTTTTATTATCTATATAGTTGCTCTGCCTCTACTGCTATGACTTACTAAAAAACGTTTTAATTCTGGGTCATCCCATCCGTTCCTTGGCTATCAATAAGTGTATCATTTGTAACTCATCTGCAGACTATGATGCTGCCATTTCCATTGTCTTTATCTCATGGTGCGAACCAAAACTACAGCAATAGCTGCTGCTGACTATGGTGTCTCATGTCGCAGATCTGTTGATCCTGGTATTATCTTTCTGTCTAATTGGTGATTAGCAGTGTGTATACACTGTAAAAAATTCTGGGTTCCACAGTTAACTTATTCGTTTTTACAAATTTAAATGGATTAAACATAAAACAATGAAGTTGTTTCCCCTTAAAAACGTAAAAATGGTGTTGTTTTATTTTAGATAAGTAGTTCGAACAAACAGCAAACGTTGTTTTTTTAAAGTGTTCGACACATTTTGGTAATGGCATGGCTCGCGTGAAATTGTGGTGTTAAAAAGTACCAGGTACTAGATATAGACCGCAGTGGAAAAGCCCCCAAAAGTAGTACTGGATCGAACCATGCAGTTGAAAAGGCCTTAAGTCTGTGATAATGTTAAGTCACTAGCTGCGTCCCAAATCGCATACTTAAGCACTATTCTACGCCATTTTGTAGTATAAACAGTGTAAGTAGTGTTCACACTGAAAACTCTAAAAAATAATAAGTGCACTTTAATTACCCGGATGATGCACTCATTCAGCCGCTAAAATGAAGTGTGTAATGATGGACACTTCACGCACTCAATGACCGCAGGTTTGCTTACGTAGCGGAAGGGGAGGAGCTATCAGACGCACATGTTGAATAACTTTATTTATTTTGGATGGTGAAAGCAAATTTCTCCAACGAGAGTGATTACAGCGCCTCCCGATGGTGAATGCGGCAATACCCACGGCAGGTATTATTTGATAATTCGGTCGTTTATTTCACTGATTTGGCAACCGTCAAACGTCATCAGGGAAACGGTTTGAATTTCCGCTCAATAAAAAAAACATTAATGTTCCGTTTGGGATGTCACTACAGTCATATACTATCCTGTTGAGTGTGTAAGTGCATAAGTACATAGTGCATGAGTGCATAGTGTATAGTGTGCCATTTGGGACGCAGCTACTGTTTTTAATCAAGGGGTGGCACGTGGCTAGCACTGTTGCCTCATAGCAAGAAGGTTGCTGGTTTGAGTCTCAGCTAAACAATGAAGCTTTTTTTGTCTGGAATTTGCATGTTATCCCCATGTCTACGAGGGTTTCCTCAGTATAAGTCAAAGGGTGTCAAACTCAGTTCCTTGAGGGCCGCAGCCGCGCAGTTTTGTTTCAACACTGCTTCAACACACCTGTAGGTTTAAAACAACACTAAAGGACTCAATTAGTTTGATCAGGTGTGTTTGATTAGGGTTGGAACTAAACTGTGCAGAGCTGCGGCCCTTCAGGAACTGAGTTTGACACCTGAGGTATACAGTAGGGGAAGTGGATACACTAAAATTGGCCATATATGTGTAAATAGAAGAGTGTGTGAGTGTGTGTGTGAAAGTTGTACTCTCAGTGCTGGGTTGCCACAGAAATGGCATCCACTGATAAAACATATGCCAGAGTAATTGGCGGTTCATTCCTCTGTGGCGACCACTTATAAAGCAGCAAATAAGCTGAAGCAAAGTGAGTTAGTGTTTTGATCAAAACTATAAATCATGTCTTGGTGATTATAAGAGATTCCTTTAAAACCAGACCTTGTCTTAGAACCTTGTATCTGACAATACTATAAGCTGCGAAAGTACATCAGCCTTTACCCTAACAGTTAAATGTCTCACTGCAAGACTATGCCTACATATTAGTCAGAGCTCATGCCTGTTAACAGACTGGCAAAGCTTTCTTCACATATGCTGGTCTATGCTCTGCCCTGAGCTGCACACACATGCGGAGAGAGCTGCTCATCATGCCTGGCCATCTGTTACCTCAACCTGCTCATGAGCTCGTTCACTTCAGTCGGCCTGCGTGTGAACCTGGGGGATCTGTGCAGGACAGAGACGAGCCAGACACACAAACACACACATGGGCTGATCCATATAACACACAGGCTAATGAAAATGTTGTTTTTTTAGTTGTCTGGAGATAGATGAGATACTATTGGGTGCTTGAGATGCTGCAAAGAAGATAGTCTGAAGCAAAGAATACAAAGATCAGAACAGAGGTTCTCAAACTGAAAGTCACAAGAGGACATGAATTAAGTTGTAAAAGTATACCAGTCCTGTTCTGATACAGTGCTGGGAAATTATTCACTTTTTTAATCGCGATTAATTGAGTAATTTTTGTACAATTAATCACATTCTTATATGCAAAATTCAACGGTAGTGTATTGTGCACTTTTATTTTAAAAGTTCTTAAATATGAAAAAAGTGCAATAACGTTTTCAGCTCTTTATGGCAGTATTCCCTTTACTTTTGAATAGGTTCAAATATCTGAACTTAAATATTAATGCAATCAAATTAAATCTAAAATCGAAGCTATCTGCACACTGATCGAATTACAGGGTTCCCACTGTGTTTACTTCAGAACGTTTGTTCACGGATTTTCAAAATTAGCTATTTGCGTGAACAGATTACAAATTCAATGCAAACATGTAAATATAGGCAAATTTATGCTTGCAGTGTGAATGATGTGGAATAAGTAAAGTGTTTGCTACATTTGCTAGGAGAAAGATGCGTTTGGGGCGATTTAAGGTTGTCCACAGTAAAAGTTTTGAATTTTTTAATATTCAAGTTCAAGTAATTCAACTGAAGCAGAAAGTTTCTTAAAAACATTCCGAGAGTAAACTAGAGCTAGTAAGGTGTTAAGTGTTAACCCTGTATTGGTTAAGATGCTGGATGGCATCTATCCCAAGCAAGTGTTCAACCCCTACCCCTGACCCATTATTTGTATATGACAATGAGCAATGGACTATTAAATTATTAATAAAAACTGTGTTAACACTCTATAAAATAATCATTAGTGTTAATATAATATTGCTTTAACTCGATAATAACAAAAAAGTATACATTTTTGCTCCAATTGGGTTTTGAATGGCTTTATAGCATATAAATGACAAAATGTACATTTAATATATTACCAGTAATAACACTTTGATTAGGAGTGTAACGGATCATGGTTGATCCGTGCATTGTACGGACCATAATCCATGGTTTGGAACACAAGTGGCCTGCGGATTAATATTTATTTTATTTTTTTTCTGGTAGATTAATCCTTAATTTGTAACGATCATAGAAATATCCTCTCTCATATCATTCAAATCATAGGTACAGTATGAAAGCGTTTCGGCTTTCCTGTAAAATATAATGATGACGAAAGAAGTTGTGGTAGGATATTCGGAATGTGGTGGGTTTCATTAAAGGTGTTTTCTGTCACTAATTGTTTAGCCTACTTTAATGCATTCAGTGAAAGCTGCACAATTAATCATGTAAAGATTGGGATCTTTACATGACACCCACGCAACAAATTATAAATGAGAGTTTACTAATCCTAAGTGATTCAGTCTTTAGTCTTTTGAGTTATTTATGTAATTATAAACATACAAATAACTCAGAAGTACTGGTTTAACAGTTTATAGTTCAGATATAACAAACTGATGTTTATGGTAAAAATTAAAATCACCATCATATGCATTTAACTTGATGCTAAAAAAAAGAAAATTGTAGGCAATTACATTATTTAACCAATAGGTGGCGACGATTAGTTATCAAAATATGACACTGAATAATTCCTTAAAAATTACACATCTAGCAGACTAGCAATGAAACATGCAGTTTTATGAGCGAATAACTGAATCATTTTATTGATAATGAGACTGAAAATATGTTTAAATATTAATTTTATACTAAATATACACTTCCTACATTTAGTGTCATCAGCAACAGTAGTGGTAACAGTAAAATTTTCACAGTACTGAATATTTAAAAAAAAAAATTATTCAGCTGATTAATTCCTGATTTTATTTTTAATAAAATTACAGGTTCTAAGTTCTGTTTTTTAAAACCAAAATTACTGTTTTTGTAATAAATGGAAAACAAATTACAATTGTCTCCTCCCGTTTTTGTCTGATCCGAACAATGGTCCGATCCGTGACAAAAAAACACATAATGTGATTCGAACTAGAGGTCTGCATTAGTACTGCATTCTGCAGTACAGCCGCGGGACCCGACCAGATTTCTGCAGCGCAGAAATAAATTTCCGAATAAAGTACGGGAGCGGTCGGTAAATGGTTTAATTTTGGATGGGAGTCCAACAATATCGCTCCCGACTCCCGAGCGAGCAAGCAAGCGTATGTATGTGACTGAGACAGCGTGATGCTGCATTTAGCTTGTTTGTTGCTGTGTGTGTGTCTGTGCGTGTGCGAATGAGAGAGAGAGCTGTTGTTCTGTGTGTGTGTGTGTGTGTTTATACAGACAGCTTGTTATAGGCTGTCTGGACTCTGTATAGCTGGTCCCCCCCCCCCCCCAATTAGCGGGAACGGGCGCGGCGGGTAGAAAACAGGCCGGGTCAGGCAGCGGGACAACAAATGCTGAATATAAGCGGGAGCGGTCGGGTTCGGCCTAAAACCTGGCGGGAGCGGGATTCTAAATTTTGTACCGCACAGATTTCTAATTCGAAGCATGAGATTTGTGATTCATTACACCACTAACTCGGATTGTTGCAATTTAAAGTTGAAGAACTTCTGTTGTATAACATGAGCATGAAGCATCACTTCACAACAAATAGGACAGAAAAACAGACTTAACACATTACATACATAATGATAGATGGTGGACACATTTAGTAAGTTCCTGTAATGGATTCATGCAAGCGACCAACAGGTGGTGAAAGTAATGTAAACTGAAGTAATATACCTGTTGGTGTCTTTGAGGCCCATGTAGGCCTGTGAGATCTCCTTGGCATCAGTGAGCTTCTGCACATCCTCAATGTATGGCAGAGGTTCAGTCATAGTCGTCTAAACAAACACAGGAGATTCACATTCACACCAGTGCACTTTCAGTTATTTCAGACAGTTACTGTACACACCAGATACAACACAAGTGACAGATTTAGTGCAGCAACTCACTTCATCCTCAGCTAAAAAGAATATTGTTTTACACTTTTTATAAACAGATGTGTAAAATGTATTTAAGAGCATGTTTGAAAAAATACCCTCATAACTTAAATAGTATTAAATATAAGTAATTAGTTAATTGTTACTGTAATAGTTACTGTAGGTCTGGAAGTTTTTTTACAATGTACTAATGATTAAAAATATTATAAATAAATAAATAAATAAATAAATAATAACAACAGGGTTTTAAACTAACATTTTATACTTTAACATTTGCCAATGCTTGTGACAATATTTCATAAAATAATTGAAGAACAAATTGGGGTAAAACACAACTTCTAATTATTGGCAGAATCATTAACACTTTGATAATCATTCAAAATAAGAAGAATTATTACTTATTATTATAAGTAATCTATGATCAAAAATGTATAAATTAGTTATATATTTGTATATGTTGTTAATTATAATAAAAATTATTATAAATATCATCATTATTATTATTATTATTATTATATTGATAATAGATTATAATATAATGAATATACATATATATATATATATATATATATATATATATATATATATATATATATATATATATATATATATATATATATAATTATTTTATTTTATCATTATAATAGTAAAAGAAAATAAACACATTTATGTTGTTGTTGTTTTTTTACTATAAAGCTTTACTTTATAGGAGACTTTTAGACCCTATAAAAACATTTCTTTCACTTACTCAAAACTAAACACAAACAAATCATTTCTATTTTTGAAAGCTAATATTTCAAAGTGGCCGCCTTAACACTAAACAATAACATTTTAGAGACACAAACTGATGTAAAATGACTGTTATTCTGTCTGACCAACATACCTTCTCATCCTGTTATGAATGCAACACGAGACAAAAGCAGAAATGAGTCAAAAGTTAGAAATGTCAACAACACTCAAGAAGAGTAGAATGTTAGTGACAGATTTGAGCAGATATGAGTCCTGATGTGAGTTTTGGCATCTGACCTTGTGCTGCATGGCTTCTTTCTGACTGACGAGCTGTGAGCGCAGGATGAGCACCTCCTCTTTGCGCACTTCCAGTTCCTCGTTGGAGGCATTGAGCTGATCCAGAAGAACGGTGTACGCAGGAGAACCAGGAGCACCAGAACCGGCCTCAACGCTGCCTCTGAGAGACTGACGCATCTGATTCAGATCATGCTTCAGCTTCTTGTTCTCAGACTCCAGCTCCTGACGCTGAAGATTTAAGATGTTCAGAATTATCAACATGCAAAAAAATATAAGAGTTACAGGATCATGCTAAATATAGATTTGTTAATGATGCCTTCAAGTTATCCCTTGTGTGCAGTTGGGGTTGTTTTCATCCATGCGGAGTTGATTTTAAATCTTAATTTGGCCACAACGTTCTTTGTTTGTAGAAGCAAGTGGAGTCACTTTTGGTGACAAATCTTATTTTGACAAAAATTTTGGAAAAATACTTTGGAGTTTTTCAGTAACTCAACAATATGCTCAAATTGACTACCTTTCGTTATGTTTGTGGCTGTTTTTGCCCCATTAACTTCCACTATAATGACATTTTTTTGAACAAATAGCCATGACACCATATAATCATGCATTTTTGATTGTTGGTGGTTTTCCCTGTTGGGAAGAGGTAAATAGTTTTTACTGTTGGTCAGTTACAGTGCAAAAAAAGTGTAGTTTCTGGTTTTTATATGGAGTATTGTATGTATGTGTTTAAGGCCTTGTTTACACAAGTGCATTTTAGTATTAAAACAGCGTTTTAGAATGAAAACGATCCGCGTCCACACTAGCGTTTCACCCAGCGTTTCTGAACAGCTCTCCGTCTACACCAAAACGACTAAAACGCACATCATGTGACCACACATACACACACACACACACACTCACTCTCTGGCATGCGCTACAGCATATCTAACTAGATGAGACCTGTGCTCATTGGACTGCTCATCAAGGATCTCCCGCCAGATCTAATCTCACTATATTGGCTAAACGTGATATTTCATTCATGTTGTTGTCTTTATATAACGACATATTCCTTGACTTTGGTCTTTTGAACTATTCCTTGTTCTCAGGTAACGTGTTTTAGCTGTGGGCAAGGATAAGTTAATGTAACCACATAAATTCGGTATATTGACTGATTGCTTGCCTTTATTTCGTTTAATGTATAAACTTATTGTACGTTATACTTTTATAATGGCCATTATTGATTATTAAAACTGATATTCAGCAAAAGAGAGGGTATGTTTCGTATTTTCAATGAAAATGAAAAAGAGGCAGTGATGTTATAGGCTCCGTCTTGTTATAAATATCCACACAGTGAAGATGACGCTCATATATGCAGCACAACGCCTCAACATTTCTGTTGTCTAAGTTGTTAATATCAAATGAAAATAGGCCGTTCTTTAAATCATGTTTTCATTTTATTGTTGAGAAAGTTAAACAACGTAGCCAGGGTGATGTGAGTGAGGTTATGAAGTACACTGTTCCTTTTGAAGATTTACCGGACATGATCTCGTGAGCTTGTTTTCCATATCAAACTTGCGAAGTCTAAACTTACAAGGAGAGAACGCGAGACTGAACTGTGTGTGGGCTACTTAATATTGAGAAAAAGCCCCAATCAGAGAGGCGAATGTCTGCAGCACCGCCTCTGTTTTCAGATGTATCCGTTTTCCCCCATCTGAGATGGAGCAGCAGCGTTTTAGAATGAGAACGGCCTCTTTAGCTTTTCTAAAACGCTTGATTTTCGGTGCTCTAAAACTCTGGCGTAGTGTGTACAGATTGCCTAACTGTAGCCAAACTTATGAGTTTTAAAACGAAAACGCATTAGTGTAAACGTTCCTAAGAGAGCGTGAGGGTGCTTTCACATCTACACTTTTGTTTCGAAATCTGAAAGAACCGTATTTCTCTCTATAATGTAAAGCCTTTAATGCATAATTCTAGCCAACAGCTATGTATGAGAAAGTCTTACCACTGATTTATATTTGGTGACGATGTCTGTGGGTGTCACTATTAAAAATTAAACCGCAGCTTTTTATTTACAAGGTCTTATGGCTCATCAACATAAATTAAAATAAGGACACATGACAGCTGAGCGGGACCTCTGACCAATGTGAGGAGAGTTTACTCACATGTGATTTGTTTTAGCTATTTTGGTCCGTTTAGAAACTTTACTGTGTGAAAGCGAACCGCACCAAGAACAAAGTGCAACATTGTAGGAATTTCCCTGTTTGGGAACAAAATATTCGCTCTACGGGTGTGAAAGCACCTTAAGAAAGACATTTGACACCTACCTTGATAAATTTAAGAAAATAAAAAATAAGCAAAACATAGTAAAGTGTATTTATGCACGCACACTATAATTTGCTGTTTTACTCAATAGAATTCCACATAAAAGCTAGAAATGTTTTTGCACAGGCCTATGTAAAGGGTTAATGGTGCCTACTGATGATCAACAGTAAAAAGTCAAATAGTACTTCCTCCCAAAAAAGAAAAATTACCACAACCAATAATGCATGATAACGTCATGGCTTTGCAATCATAAAATGTGGATTTAACGTAAATCAATTGGGTAAAAACAGCCACAAACATAACAAAGGGGTAGTCAGTTTGTATCAGTTAATATCTTTACACATTTATTATTAGAGAAGGCTACTGTTTACTAAGTGTGACAAGTGTTATGCTGTGTACATAACAAACATGGACAAAAAACACATGCATTGTCACATGCTCAAGTTTATTTGTTTACTTGTTTTTAAATTCACACAAATGTATTTTTTTTTAATTTCATTTTGTGAATTGAGGTATTTGTGTGAAAAAATTACATACACAGTCAATACATACAAATAGAAGCAAATTTTTGTCAGGTGTCATGAATGACATATCACATTTGTTAAAAAAAATTGTGGAATTTGCTTTAACCATTTGTTGTCATACACGTCACCTAATGAAAATTAGCCTCTTTTTGCGTTTTTGCATTGATTTTGTATGTACAGTACTCGCGCAAATACTTACATTCACAAATTAATTTAAGTGCATTAGCTCAATGTGAATATTATTATTAACATAATTTTATTATTAACAATAACATCTTTAGCTAAATTTAAAAAATAGTTTGATTCTTATATTAATATGTCCTGTAACATATTTATAAAAAAAAAACACCTTGAGATTTATTGATCAATTTTACAAATACCAAGCTCAGTTTTTTAAATAGAGTAATGAACTCTAAAGAGTAAATTGGTTTGAGTGAAGGAATGAATAGTACAAAATGTGTTTACCTTGAGAGATTCATACTCCAGCTCTGCACCACGAGCTTTCTTATGTTCTTCATCATCCTGGTATGCAAACATTAGAAGAGTTAATGTAAAATGATTTTTGGGTATGCTCACAGAGTTATTATAAATAAATAAACAAACAAACAAATAAATAAATAATAGCTATTTTTTCAGTGGTTGGATAGCAGAACCATTACATTTAAGTCCATTATTGAATTTTAACCCATAATTCATATGGGTAATTCATAATTCATAATTCATTCACAATCTGAACACTATTTAGACATTATCAGGATAATTACTGTTTCATAACCACAACCAATCCGCAATCCTTTAATAGTAGTAAAAATAACTATGAACTATGTTCTTGCAGCTAAAATAGTATTTATGTTCCTGTGATATCTGTAAGATTATTTATTATGAACAGTACCAGTATTAGTACAAGTACAAGTTTTTATTAGAATTATAGCTTTGATTTTTCTCATGACCATACGAACAGCCTAAATTTACCAAACCAACATATTTAAACAACTAATACAAAAACAAGATGAATATTACTCAAAAAGGTTTCAAACAGAAATAATGTTTTCCAAGCCTAAAAAATCACTTTGAGTAAAAAAGTGATCATTTTTTTTATGCTTCAATGATTCAACAATAGCCCTACGATATATTCCTCAACAAATCTGAAAAGAAAAAAATCCCTTAAAAATTGTAAATCCAAAAAATAATTAAGTAAATAAAACTGTTTTATAAATTGGTTTCCTTACCAGAGGTAAAAAAACAAAACTAGTTCACCAAACTTTTCATTTATGGCAAATGGACCAGACTGCATTATGAGGGTTAAAATAAGTGGATGCTATGTTACTTAATTTTCATTAAGCAGAGTTAATGTGTGAGTGTGTTTACCCTAGCTCTAGCCCGCTGAAACTGCTCTTCTCTGCGATCCAGTTCGTTCTGCAGCGACTGCTTTTCTTGCTCGAGTTCGGAAACTCTCTTCTGCAGCTTCAGGAACAGAGACATGTCCAGGATTGACTTGGAAACATCCTAAAGAGAACACATACATATTTTATTAATTACTTCAATTCATACAACCTTTCATAATGTCACAATGTGTGTTGTCTAAATCCGAATATTAAATTGGTCAAACATGGAGTCACTTTTAGGGCTCTATTTTGACAGTCCATGCGCAGAGCGCAAAACGCAGGGCGCACACGCTTTCAGGGCGTGTCAGAACGCATTTTTGCTAATTTAAGGACAGGAAAATCCACTTTGCGCCGTGGCACATGGTCTAAAAGGGTTGAGTTTATTTTCTTAATGAGTTATAGGTGTGTTTTGAGAATAAACCAATTAGAGTCTCATTTCCTATTCCCTTTAAGAGTCAGCTGTATCGCGCCATAAGCACATTCGCTATTTACAGGACGTAAAGTAAGTCTAAGTGGAAAAAATGAGCATTTTACTTTAAACAGTTAACAGTTAACAGTTTTTTAACATAAAACTGTTAAACAGAGCATCTACTGCGTGAGAATGAGAGATAATCGATCTACTTTCATTTTTGCTCTTGGATAGGGAAACCTTTACGCACAGACATCAATTAGTCTATAAATAATTAATTGCATTTGTTAAGCGCAAATATTCGTTTCAAAATTATTTCTAAATTCAGTTCTAATTTCCAGCAAACGAATAAAATGAACAATAATAACGAAGTGTGTTCAAAAACCTGAGTTATATCCTAAAACACATGCAGTGCCCCTTATGGTCTAAAACCTGACAGGTGGGCAAACCTAAGCTTGTTTTTAATAAAACAAACATAAATATGGATATAATAAATAATACTGCTAATAATAATAACATTATACAAAAGCAAATTGTTATGAATGAACTGAAAAAGCCTCCCGAGATGAAGAAGACATAAAAGCAGTGATTTTTCATATTTATGTAGGCAAGAAAATAATATGTTTTGTAATATTTTAATCCTTTATATTTATATCCTATACCTATTCTTAATATATCCTATATCCTTAATATTTAAATTTTGTCTTATGTAAAGATATTTGCCTATTGCTCTCTTGTGCATATTAAGCAATGTGTAAGCGAGGCTCAACTCTGCGCTGGAGTTTAGACCGGGTTTGTTTTGGTCTAATGAAAAATCAATTTAAGTTTCTCAAAATAGCGACATGCCAGCAGTGCGCCTCAGAACGCCTTCCTTTTTAGACCAGAACGCCTATGGGCGCACATATGAGCGCTAATGCATTTGCTATTTAAACAGCGTAGCGCAACGCCTCAAAACGACTCTTGCGCCAAGCTGAAACTACCAAACAAGTATTGCGCCGCGCCTTGCGCCACACTGCGCCGGGTGTATGATAGGGCCCTTAAACTTCATTCATTCATTTTCCTTTGAGTTAGTCTCTATTTCAGAGGTTGCCATAGCGGAATGAACCGCCAAATATTCCAGCATATCTTTTATGCAGCGGATGCCGTTCCTGCCACTTCCAGTACTGGGAAACAACTATACACACACTCAACCACTTTGGCTAATTTATTTTCATCGATTCACCTATAGCGTACGTCTTTGGAATGTGGGTGAAACCAGAGCATCCGGAGGACACCTACGCAAATTCCACATGACTTTCTTGCTCTTAGCATACCTGCCAATATTTGTCTCTGGAAATTCCGGAGACAGGAAGGGGGTGGTGATGGGAGAGGGCAGGAGTAGCGGGGATGTCGAGGTGTCGGGGGTGAGGTGTCTGAATAACAGCTAAGTAACTGTACTATGCACTGGTTTTCGGGCAGTCGATGCGATTGGATACTATACCGAAGTTGGCGAGCCGGGGGTGTTATATAGACTGTTCCAAAAAGCTGAGGACCGGGGGGAGGGATGACATTATGTGAGTTTTCCAGGAAAAATAACAAAACGGGAGGGTGACAGGAGATGGGTATGAAATGGGTCAGGAAAAACAGTGTTGGCAGGTATGGCTGTTAGGCGACAGTGCTAACCACTAGCCACTGTGCTGCCTTTTTAAACTTCATATTAGGCCAATTTACTGAAAGCTATCATAAACATTTGTGCAATGATATGAACATCTTTAAATGTTCTGCTCTGACCTCCCCGACGCGGGATCCCTCCTCTGACTCTGCGAACTCTGAGTTGTAGGTACATTCTGATTCGTTGCTGCTGTGTGTGGAGTCTGTGCGCCGGTGACCAGGTTTTGGAACATTCTAGAACAAAGAAAAGTCCCATTAGAGGATGGAAAGGCATAAAAGTACATATAAATTCAAAAATAACCATACTGATTTTGTTAGCTCACATTGCTAGTTTTGTGCTGAACAATTCATTTGTTCATGTCATTAAGAAAAATAAATAGTTTGCCCTTGTAATGTAAAATTGAAATCTGGAAAAGCACTTTCTGTTTGTTTTCAGTTAAATTAGCAGATTATGTCTGTCTGAGGTGTTGGGCGTGGCTAACATACTTAACCACGCCTCTCCAACTGTCAGTTTTGACAGAGCTATGACAACAAACAGAAATGGTGTTGAGGAGGTGTATGCTTGTATTAACTCTACCGAAACCATTTTACTGATCTTTCTGAATGACATGCTTACTTTACTACATCCAATCAGCTCACAGTAGAAAAAAACAAGCCACACCCACTGTTTGTCATTTAATATTCCGTCATAATACAAAAAAAGTTTAGAGCTTCTGGTTCATGCAGACTTTAATTATTTTTGTCATCAGGACAGTATGCGTTTTCTGCACAAGTGGAGCCAGTTTTTTTTTTTAACACGTGGCTTACACATTATTTGGTTTTATTTTTTCTTCACTGCCTAGTTTGCACACAAGGTGTCAAGAACAAATCAGACTTTTGTTTTTAGACAGTGACCAAAGAGATGGAACAAGAGCTAGAACAATATTCTGAAGATGGTAGAAACAACAGACACTTACAGTACACTGATAAGTGATTGTGTGAAGGGATTAAAAAAGGTTTGAAACTCTATTTTACAAGAGTACACCAATAAGTTTGCTGATATAGTATTCTTTATTCACATTATTTCTTTAAAACCTATCCTAAAAATGTAGAGATTTATGACTATAAGGGTCAATATTGGAATAAAGATAATCATCATTTTCTTACATTATCTGAAAGCTGTTTGGATAGGACAATATTTGGTTGACATACAAGTATTTGAAAATCTAAAAGTGTTGAAAATTGTCTTTAACATTGTCGAATGCATACTGTATCACTAATAAAAACTTAAATTTATATAGATTTAGGGATGGAAATTGACAAAATGTCTTTATGGAAGAGGATTTTCCTTAATATTTAAATAATTTTTGGCATAAAATGAAAGTGTATATTTTTGACTATATATTTTGACTATATTTGTACTTACTTTATTTATAAATCACAATATAACAACAGGTGTTGACCATTGTGCTGTACACAAATTATATAAAATGATCTGATAAGATCAAAGGAATAAAACAACATACAATACACTAAACATGAAAAATATCTAAAAACACAGCAAGCTCAGATAACTCAGGTATTTACAGCCTTTTCTAACGGGTGAATTTTCAATTTCCCCTTGAACATGGATTCTGTAGCAATTATTCTAATAGAAAGAGGTAGACAGTTCCACAACGTGAAAAGTCCAGTCTACTTTTTTCTTTAACTTTGATCTGGGTACTCATAACAATTTCTAGTAACACTTTATTTTGGTGGTCTATTTGAGTATTAGTAGACTGTCTGCTTATTATCTGTTGATACTGTTGCTAAACAGACATTTAACTGACTGAAAGAAACTTTGCAAGTCAACTTACACTAACCCTAACCTAAAAGTCTACTTATAATCTAATGAGAATTAATTGGCATGTAGATGCAATGTAACTTAAATTCAACAAACGGACCATCAAAATAAAGTGTGACCAAATTTCTGACTTGATGACCTTAAACATCTAGCAGATGCATTTACAACCACATGGTACCAGACCATTTAAAACCTTAACTACAAATAGTAATTTAGTTATTTTAGTTTAATTTTAGTTATTCTCACAAATATACCTTAAAAAACGTAAGGTTTCAAAGACATAACAGAACATTTTTCCAAATTGAAAAAAAGACCTTTTTTTCTTATGTTAAAACTCTCCATCTAGACTGATCACCCTTTCTAGCCCTTGACAATAATAATACATCAGTTTGTAGTCTTTCACTACATTAATTGTAACATTGAGATTGTTGCATAAATGTAGACATCTGCCCCATAATATTTGTGTAATCGGGTTTTATTTTATTATTATTTTCATTTATTTATTATTATTTAATTTGTATTTATAATGGTTTACACTTTATTTTGATGGTCGGTTTGTTGAATTTAAGTTACATTGCATCTACATGCCAACTAATTCTCATTAGATTACAAGTAGACTTTTAGGTTGGGGTTGGGGTTGGTGTAAGTTGACATGTACTTGCAAAATTTCTTATAGTCAGTTCAATGTCTGTTGAAGGAGCAGAATCAACAGATATTAAGCAGACAGTCCACTGATACTCAAATGGACCATCAAAATAAAGTGTTAACTTACAATTTTTTTTCTATTACTATAAAAGAGTTGTTTGATATGTTTGATATCATTTAAATAATTTATATCAGTTAAATAATTCATAAACAAAACAAAACGTAAACATAAGGTTTTGTGGTCCAGGGTCAAATTAGTAAAATTTATTTGCCATTTCTAGCCATTTTTTACCTTAAATGTGTCAACATTTATGTCAAATTCCTAAAAATAATGTGTACTTGTTTAAAAAACTATGGTCTGTAAGTTTTATGTATTTGTTGCCAGAGGTTTAAAACCTGCAATTGCAATTATTTGTGGAATAATCATCTTTATGTGGATGTGCATCGGCTTGGATTATTTTTGTGGATAAGTTTTTCTGTGTATTTTTGGCTGTCAGTTCCTTCACCAAAGAAAACTGGGAATCACACATTTTGGAAACTAAATTGACAGTCTCTATCGTTAAATGATTCATTCAGCAAATTTGTTGATTAGTTCAGCAACTGAATGATGCAATGAGCCATTTGTAAAGAAATGCAATGACAAACTAGTCCGGTTTTCAAAAATAACAAGTCAGAATTAAGTGAGTTTTTCCCTAAAACAAGTTAAATAATCGGTGAATGGGTAAACAAAGTGAAAACAAGATTATTTGAACCACGTTGACATATCATTTAGCTTGTTTTAAGGAAAAACTCACTTAATTCTGACTTATTACTTCTAAAAACAAAAAATATATTTTTGTTTGCCTTGAAAATGCTGCTTGGTTTAAGAATTTTTAGATATTTAGACTAGAAACAAGGCAAAAACACTAAGTAAAGCATTTTTTTGCTGCAAAGTTTGCCCAGGCTATGGAATAAAGCTAAAAACATTGTAAATAATGTCCAATTTTATGCACAGAGCAATCAGTTCCCTTCATAAGACTTCACTGTATCACCAGGAGGCACATAAAGTGATTTAAAGTTTCGGTATGTGTTTATTTATGACCTCAATAATGGCTGACCATTGACTTGCATTATATAAATCACTAAGAAACATGGATTCAGCTAAAAAATCATCTTTAATGTTCTACTAAAGAAAACATAGAGTCACCTACATTTTCAATAAGGGTAAGAAAATGCACTGTAAACTTTCCCTTTAACAAGTCTAAAAAAGCAGCTGCTGAAATACTAATGTGTACTTATGGGAAATATTAATAAGTGTTAGTTTGACTAACTAGCTGAGAAGTATTTCAGGCAACCCATCAAATAATGTGAAGTTTTCAAAATGTGAAGTTTTGTGTGTACTCACCACAGCGAGTGTGATCTCTTCTTTCAAATCGTCGTATTTCTCCTCTAGTCGGAGGTGCTCGGTGAGGAGATTTTGGTAGCGAGATCGCTCCTCGTTTAAATCGTTTTCTAACTGCTGGGTTTCCTCTTTCAGAGCTCTCTGCATTTTGTCTATTAAACACACACACATGCATGTTATAAGTAAAACATTGAACCAGTGTTGAATTACAAAATCATCTGACTGCAGACTGACTCAAGATGTTGACACTAAAACAGGACAGGGACAATTATCACGTTAGAAAAACACACAGAGAAATGACAGACACTGTTAATAAAGGACTTCGATTTGTTTTTCTGTTTAAGATCTTAGTGTACACTACAAATAGCAGTGTCAGACTGTGTTTTCACAACATTTTTGTATTATTCTGCTGTTTTTTATATGTGTAGCTATGCAGCCACTATTTTTTTCCACTTCATTTGGTCAAAGTCTTCCCCTAAATACATTATACACTATATAAAATACTGGGTTCCACGCAATTCCTTCATATTGTCCCAACACAAATTGATTAAGTTAACTTCGAACATTGAACATAAAACAGGTAAGTTGTCCGAAAAAATCCCTCAAGTATTTTGTTGATTCAGCTCATTTTAAATAAGTGGTTTGAATAAGCAGCAAATTAGTATTTTTTCGTGTTTATAATGTTTATTTAAACAAACAATTTTGTGATTGACCAATCAGATTAAAGTATTCCAGAGAGCCGTGTAATAAAAATAGCTAACCAATGAAAATTGGATGCATTTATACAGGTTACAAATGAGAAACTACAGGTTTTGGGAAACACTCGTCACTACATCGTTCTTTTCCTAAATGATGCATCATACTATGATAGTTGAGCTGCGAGTTACATCGTTGTTTGGGAAACGCACCCCAGTTTAAATTTTTAAATAATTTTTTTTGACTGTAGAAACACTATTATGACTCACTTTAAGTATTTATTAGACAACAGGGCTCTTACTTAAAATATAAAAAACATCATTTGACAGAACAAAATCGGTTAACTTACCACTAATGAGTCTTTGTAACTACAACAAAGTTTTAAAATTGCAGACTGCATCTTTATGAATACAGTCATGACTGACTGACTAATGAATAAAGTTGTAAATCTGTTTATAACGGTTATAAACATGTACTGTATATTGAACAATGAAATGCATCACTAGTAAGCATTGACATGATTCTGCGTTTTGGTATTAACAAAGACTATAGAATATACAAGACATGCCTCTCATATACTTTTGTATGGGGAAAAGTGTAACTGTCAATATGGCGATTGAGGCCCTGCCTTCTAGTACAGGAGCCAATCAGCGATCGCTATAGAATGACAATTCTCTATGGTGATGGTGTTTTTTGTGATACAAGCATTTCGAAATGAAAGTAAATAGACAGGTGTTGTTTAATTTTATTGGTTATTCGTAATATGTAATGTAATCGTGAGCTTGGCTAACAGTTTTGAAGAATTTGATGTTTCTCCATTAAGACAGAATGCCTGAGTATACTGCCCGAGAGGCGTTTCAAAGATGGATGCCAAGTTACAAGACTTGCCTTAAAGCAAAGAATCACCAAGAGGCGACACTCTAGAGCGATTTGAGAAACAGCCATTAGATGCCACTAGTGTCACGCAGTGGCCATTTTGGAATGAAAATTCCAATAGAACAACAGCATATTATAAGGGTGCTTTCACACCTTCACTTTTGTTTCGGAATGTATCTCGTTTGTCCAGTTAGCGCGGTTCGTTTGGCATATGTGAACAGGGCAATCGCGCTCTGTTCTACGCCAAAGTAATCGCTCCGAGATCTCTAAATGAGGTGGTCTCGGCTCGATTGAAACAAACCCTGGAGCGCTTCGATTGCAGTGAGAAAGCGATCCGATCCGAGCGCGGTTATATCACAGTGTTTTATGGATATGTAATAGGCTTACGGCTATATGAAGAGAGAATTATGCGTAGGGCGGGAAGTTTTGCAAGTCTCCGGATGCCCGCAAACCAGTGATGATCTCCCGGTAATCTCGCGTCACCCTCCCGGTCCTCAAATAGGCATCATCGTGCACCCTTCTCACCCCTCCCCACCGCATCTCTCAGACATGTCGCGCATGCGCACCCTGTCAATCACCACCAAACCACCACCTCTCCTGTCAGCTGAGTGGGACGCTGCAAAATAAACCCTGACACTCTGACCAATGTAAGGAGAGTTTACTCGCACGTGACTTGTTTTAGCTCTTTTGATCCGATTAGAAACTTTGCCGTGTGAAAGCGAACCGCGCCAAGAGCGAAGAGCAACAATGTAACAATTGTAATCTCTGTTTCGGAACAACTGAATCGATTCACAGGTGTGAAAGCACCCTAAGTCTGTAAAATAAACTATTAAAAGTGCTGATGATTGTGATAGTAAGTGTTGAATTGTCGTCTTTCAGGTTGTGTCTCAGCTTTAATATGCTTTTAAAATAAATAAATAAAAAAACAAAGCAGCAGGTTGCCATCGCAACAGCAATAAGATCCAATGGACTGCTGATGGCTTTCACTCCAAAATGGTGGAATCGCGGGGCTGTTGCTGGGTGCTGCTGTTGCAATAGAACGTTCTATTGAGTGTCGCCTCTTAATGATTCTAAGCTCTTTGCTTAAAGGGACTTTGGTATTAATAACATAATTCTAAATAAAGCTCTAACTGTCATTATAATACATTATAGGTGACTTTATAGATACATTTTTACAGTTAATTACAAATAATTATAAACGAAGCTATAATTCATTATAAGCGTGGGCATCATAGAAAATGGTTTTATATATATATATATATATATATATATATATATATATATATATATACACAGCTGAAGTCAGAATTATTAGCTCTCAGGGAGTTTTAGCCCCCATGTAAATTTTTTGCCCAATTTCTGCTCAATGGGAAGAGTTTTTAAAACACATTTCTAAACATAATAGTCTAAATAACTCATTACTAATAACTGTTTTATTTTGTCTTTGCCATGACGACTAAATCATATTTTACTAGATATTTTTCAAGATACTAGTATTCAGCTTAAAGAGCAATTTAAAGGCATGATTAGGTTATTTGGTTATCTAGGCAAGTTAGGGTAATTAGGCAAGTCTATACAGTGGTTTGTTCTGTAGACAAAAATATTGCTTAAAGGGGCTAATAATTCTGACCTTTAATAATACTTAATTAAGACTTTCTTCACAAGAAAAACAAAATCAGATATACTGCATTCCTTGCTCTGTTAAACATAATTTGGGAAATATTTACAAAAAAAAAAAAAAAAAAAAAAAAAAAATATATATATATATATATATATATATATATATATATATATATATATATATATATATATAGACTTCAACTTTATATACTGGCTGCTTTGACTTTACCTGTCCACTGCTGGCTCTGTTCCTGGATCAGTTGGTTTAGGTTGTTTTTCTCTGTCTTCAGCAGCTGGTTTTGCTCTTTTAGCTCTGAGATCATCTGTCACAAACATCCCACAATCAGTCAACATGTCATATTTTACTCTGTCAAGATTACACAAAACAATGCTAGCTGTAGTTTGCTATTGTGTCTCAAATGAAGGGTTGAAAATTGATATAACCACTGAGGAATGTTTATTTACTCAACACACATGCAGTATAGTACTCTAGTCCTCGTTCTACTGAAATTCTAGTAATAGGGTATATGCAGAGCTACTGTTTCTTCCCATACTGATAAACTTTCGATGAACGGTTAATGTGACTTTTTTCCCTTTTATATGGTTCCTTTTACAGCATCGAAGTTGCAATGTAATTAAAATGCAATCAGTTAAATAGACTTTGGCATTTATTTAAGTAGACGTTTAATCGCACGCGCCCATCAAGATTGGCAGGTTAGCGCAGAAGCTCCATTGAATATACAGAGGTAAAATTATTGTTTATATTTTGAAGACATGATGGGGAAAAATGTAATTTAATGCAGTGCTTCTTGTACAACTGAGACCCACTTTATATCGGATATCACTCAGCCAGTGGAGATCACAGATTTTTAAAGAAAAAAACATTAAATACACCCATTTTGCAATGGTTTACAGTTCACTTAACTGGAAACACTTAACCCAGGTTACTGTCAAATTAAAAGTCCTTTAGCATACTTCCGCATATACCCTATTGTTCTAGTCCTCTAACACCCTAAATACAAATACATACTTATATGTTTTAAGTGCTAGTCACTGTCTCTCTCACCTGAGTAAATGCACAATTCTCCTCTGCTCCCAGGTCTTATTAAACCCTGAATATGGAGATACACAGAGTATATCTGTGTCTTTAGAGGCCTCTAGAATCTATAAGGATTGCCTATTAGCAGGGGAGTGGGTAACCTTGGTTCCTGTTGGAATAATTTAGCTAATCTGGGGACCTGCTATGGGATTAGAATTGGCAAATTTTATTTAAACAAATGAATTTGTATCAACACTGCTGCTGAACTACTATGGCTTGATAAGCTACTCATTAGGTAACTTAAGGTCAAACTACTTTTCTAGAAAAAAAAAAAAAAAAAAAAAACAGTTGGCAAGAATACAAGTTACAATAAAATCACATTGAAGTACATTACAAGTTGTTCATTTACACTATTAAGAAAACATTAACTAAGACTTTTAGCTCAATAAACTACTAATTAGCTACTAATTAGGTAGTATTTGGGTTCAGGTATTGGGTAGGATTAGGGATGTAAAATTAGATGCTTTATAACCGCTAATAAATAGTTCATATGTTAATAAGGCTCAGGCAATAAGGCAGTAGTAAATGATGTGAAGTTTTATTTAAACTGCAGTCAATTTATATATATATTTATATATATATATATATATATATATATATATATATATATCCGACTTCCAGGAACATAACGGTTTCATTAATCGATGAATGAGTTCATTTCCAATTCATTTTTCTGAATATTTTAACGAATGCTGCAAATAAACTGATTTGTTGAAGCCAATCATTCTTAGCTCTTAGCGAGGGAGCTCTAGCGCCTAAGTGTTTTGATGATATTTTTGTCTCATTTATTGCTATGATTATCACTGTCAATCACCCGAGTTTCAACAGTGAATCCTACATTTATAGGAAAACTCAAACTTTGCAGTGTATATGTACTGTAGCCACTTGTCATGTTAGCTGTGTTTTCATTAATCCAGATGACACTAAACCAGAAGTACCATAACTTCCAGAGGTTTGTGAAAGAAAAACTGGGTAAACCTATATACACTCACCGGCCAGTTTATAAGGTACACCTTACTTGTACCAGGTGGGATCCCCTTTTGCCTTCAGAACTGCCTTAATCCTTCCTGGCATAGATTCAACATGGTACTGGAAATATTCCTGAGAGATTTTGATCCATATTGACATGATTGCATCACGCAGTTGCTGCACATCCATGATGCCAATCTCCTTCCACCACATACAGGAGTGGAACCTTGTGTGGCTTTCTGCTGCTGTAGCCCATCTGTCTCAAGGTTTGATGTGTTGTGCATTCGGAGATGCTCTTCTCTGCATACCTCGGTTGTAACGAGTAGTTATTTGAGACACTGTTGCCTTTCTATCAGCTCGAACCATTCTCCTCTGACCTCAGGCATCAACTAGGCATTTGCGCCAACAGAACTACCGCTCACTGGATTTTTTCTCTTTTCCGTACCATTTTCTGTAAACTCTAGAGATGGTTGTGCACAAAAACCCCAGTAGATCAGCAGTTTCTGAAATGCTCAGACCAGCCCGTCTAGTACCAAAAACCATGCCACGTTCAAAGTCACTTATATCACCTTTCCTCACCATTCTGATGCTCAGTTTGAACTGCAGAAGATTGTCTTCACCATGTCTAAATGCATGAGTTGCTGCCATGTGATTGGCTGATTAGAAATTTGCCTTAACAAGTAGTTGGACAGGTGTACCTAATAAAGTGGCCGGTAAGTGTAATCTGCACACTTAGAATCATTTATGCTTATCAAATAGTGAAATATTTGGTAATGCTTAATAGGATTCAGTATTCAGTATAGTTTGCAAACTATATAGTTTGCAAACAGTATAGTTAACAAATTAGATTAGGCACTTAACAGCTTTTACCTTTTCCATCTCGTCCTGGTAGGTCTGAGCCCAGTCCTCAATGGCTTTCTTCTCCTTCTGTGTGTTCTGCAGGTCTTTGCGCAGTCGTTCCAGCTCCTCCAGAAGAGATGTGACTTTGTTGGCGTTGTTTTTGGCGTCCTCCTCTGCTCCCCGCAGACGCGTCACTTCGGCGCGCATACGCTCTGACTCAACAGCATGGCTGGTCTCTAGAGTGTTCAAACGTTCGCTCATGGAACGGTTCTCCTTGTTCTAGAGGAAAAACAAAACAGAAAATCAATTTAGTCATATTTAACATTATAAAGTTACTTTATAACTCCATACATGATCTTATGTAGAGATACAAATTTTCTTTAAAGTGAATTTCCATATTGTTAGTAATATTTTAAGTTCTACTTTATTAGCCATGCATGCTTTTAAATTAAAATCATAATAAATTGTGAGTATCAGATATAATGCATTTTGTTATTTTTAATTGTACTGTACATCACATAAACCAACGTATTATATTTGTTGCACCTCACAAGTACAACAACAGTTTTGTTTAATAAACTACGCATTTAATTATTAACTTCTCAAAAATGATACTGGGAAATCTAAACTGACATCTTACTGGAAATGTAAGAATGTTCAAAGTTTTGCTCAGTTTGGGCTTCTGAATATGTGATTTTGTCCTACAGTATGAGCTCCATAATGTCACTATGGCATAATATATGATAAAAACCAACAACCCCTAAACACATTTTTGAGACTGATGGTATGACTGATTTATTGATTGATTTTGATTTGATTAATTTATTTTGAACAGTATAATACATTTAAAAAAAAATATTCAAAGATAAATACATTTCATCATAATCAACAAAACATCTTCATATGTAAACTCAAAAATAACAATTGATTTTAAACAGATCAAAATGGCACATGATGAAGTACATTATTATTAAGCTTATTAAATTGATTGTTATTGATTGATTGAGGCTTATTAAATTGATTGTTATTGATTGATTGAGGCTTATTAAATTGCTTGTTATTGATTTCTAAGGCTTGAAATTCCAGGGCTGAAAAGGAGTCCCACTCCGGCCCTGGTTATATCTAATGAACGTAAACAGGCTGATGTTGTGCTTTAGTTGCCTAATATGTAAAATATACCCTATCATTCCATAATATTTATATAAATAATCATTTTAAATGATGCTTATGCATTTATTTTTTTTATTAAACTAGAAACTAAAAAATTGACAATGAAAATATGACAACATAAACTGTTTTTCAGTTTTTCTTTTCAGCCCTGGAGTTTCAAGCCTTAGACCGGCCCACCTCAGTTCAGGACTGACTATATTACAATAAGGTCATTTCTAATTCAGTTTCTAATGACACTATCACGTCTTTTTCAAGAAAACAGCTGCTTTAGAACTTCAAATGTTCAACAACCTTACAGTTTTGTATGTCTTAACAATAAAAATGAAAAAAAAAAAATTTAACTCAGGTGAGGATCGTACACAGGTCGACGGCGTGGCAACCCAAAGTGCTGACCGCTGGACCACAATGGCACTGATATTGATTGTGTGGCCGGAATAATACTTAATCCTCATCATTACCCTGCAGGCTAAAGTTTACTCATGGGGCTGCGAGACAATAAATAAGAAGAGCGGAGCTGTGGCAAAATAATGGATAAAAATTGTGAGGCTATGGTCAAATAAATAAATAAATGAAAAAAAGTGCGACTGCGACTGCTGCTTTCTCTGTTCGCCATGCTAGAGAGGAACAGTCTGCGCAAATAGAGTGCAGAGTAAGTGTCCTTGACTACAGCTCTCCTCTGATTGGCTGAAAGGTACGAGTTGCCCTGAGTCTGGCAGGAAAGTCTCAAAAATACACACACACGTATCCAGGGGGAGTCGTACGTGAAAGAGGATTTGCACATTCTCATTCAGGATGAACTCGCAAGTTTTAAACATTCAAAACTTTTTGTACATTTGCAAATGGTGTTTTGCATTTGTGAAACGTATTTTATGAAAATGTATTTTTATTTTGAGCATGTGAAATTTTTTTTGTGAATATAAATAAATATTTTACGCAAGTGAATTTGGCTATGCATGTGTAAATCGTGTCTTTTGCGTGAATTACTTTTGAGTCCTATCTGTCTCCATAAAACTGAAACTCCAATTTTTATGCAAACCCTTCCCTCTCTCTCCCCCCCGACACTCCCACCTAAACAGAGCTGGACTCACCCACTTTCTTGAATTGTTTTCTAAAGGTGAGAAAATGCCCAGGCTGAGACGGGGGTTTCGTGGCTCTTTAAATATAATTTAATCGCATCATAAATGTGTAATCTTTTATGGTAAATTTATATTTATTTTAATTTCATGCACTGAAGCAGTAATCTCCATGCGTTAAGCAAAGGGTGCAAAAAAGTGCACAAAAATATTTTATATTTCTATTTTTATATATTATTTTACTAAAAATATTTATAAAACAATTAAATACATATACAATATATATATATATATATATATATATATATATATATATATATATATATATATATATATATATATATATATATATATATATTTATTTATTTATTTATTTAAAAAGTTTATCATTATTACCGATTTAATCAAATAAATTATTACTAAAGCAACACAATTACACTTGCAAGCACTTTAACTTTATCCAAAATCTACTCACTATTTTTCAACCTTCTAAAAATACTACATTAAAGTTCAAGCAATGTCAGGGATTTCCAGCACCTGCAGGGATGCGCCTGCACCTCATAATGCGCCTCAGTCTCCCAGGGTGAAGTGTCTTACCTGATCGTCTATCCTGCGCTGCAGCTGCATGATCTTGTTCTCCATGCCGATGTTGAGCTTCTTGAAGTGTTCGACCGAGCGTGCTTCGATCTTGAGCTTCTTGAGTTCTCGTTTGGCTCGCATTCGCCGAATGCAGCACTGCAGGTAAACGATGGCTTTGAGCGAGCGCTTGAACCACTGCCGAGCCAGCCAGCCACGCACCATCTTCTGAATAATGACAGCCTTGTGCTCACGCAGCAGCTAAAAAAAACAAACACACAACACAAGATGAATAAAAGACAATGATCAGAAAACATTACCAAAATAGACAAGTAAACAACAGCGATCATCCATTAGTAGTTGAGTGGAATTTTCTCTTTTTTTTTTTCTTTCACACCTTCTGTCTTTTTAATTTGCAGATATTACACATCCTGCCTGGTAATCCGCTGCTGATCAACAGAGCTCAGACGGAAGAAAAATAGAGGCGAGGGAGACAAGTAAGAGTAATAATACAGCTTCAGCTGCTGTGGTCTGTCAGTGGGACAGTCCCGACACTGGAACAACCTGCTCCCCTGTGAGATCACATGACTAAACACATGAGGTCACCGCCACACTGTTACTTCATCCTCTTTATGGGCTGCAAAATAAACTTACAAACTCCAAACTAGCAACAAGCTAGGATGAACTGGGAAGAATGCACTGAAAAAATGATTCATTTGGTTTACTACATTTTTTTAAATGTAAGTGCACTGTAAAAAATGCAAGCGTGCACATAATTCGTTCATGTTGTCCCAACACAAATTCATTATGTTAATGTAACTAATTTAAGTGTATTGAAAAAAAAATCAAGTTTCACCAAAAAAAAAAAAAAAAAAAAAACTTCATAATTGTTTTGTTTTAGCTCAATTTAAATAAGTAGTTTGAACAAGTGGTACACTTTTTAAAATGTGGTTGCAAACAATTTGTATGGGCTGAATTTACAAATTAGGTTGAACATTACTCAGTTTTATTTGTTTGTTTTAATTCAACCATGTACATTTTATGCTACCACTTACCTTAAAACAATTAGTAAATCCAATGAATCCTTATTTTTTCAGTGTGTGTGTGGGAAGGATGTCAGAATCAGATTGATATTTTTGTTTTAACCCTCCTGTCGACTGTTTGATGAGTTTTTCTAAAATGACCCAACTTTAGAAAAAATATATAATTTTCTTTTTTTTAAAAATATTTTTATGAAGGTTGTACACATTTAGGGTACAACGGTTGTCATATGGGTCAATTTTGACCTGCTTGCTATAAAATACCTTGGTAGCAGGTCAAATCTGACCAAAAGGACAATCGTTTTATAGCTAGCAGGTCAAAATTGACCCAAAGGACAAGGCTCTCTCTCTCTCTCTCTCTCTCTCAAATTCAAATTCAAAGAGCTTTATTGGCATGACTGTAAAACAAATCACAATGTTGCCAAAGCAATAACAAAATACCGAACATTCATATAGATAAAAGAAATATAAGTAATAATAAACAAACACATATACATATCGTTATATTATACATATATGTTGTCACAATAAACAAGTTAATAAAACTCTCTCTCTTTCTCAAAACACACTGTGGTTGAAACAAATTTGGCTATTGTTGCTTATTCAAAATGCAATGCTAATTTATAATTGCATCGCTAGAAAATTAAAATAATATTTGGTGCATATAGTAAATTAAAAAAAAAAAGTCAAGCTTTTTTACTGAATTACCATTTTTATTCAACTTCAAATTAGTTGTTTACTTTGCTAGAAGCTTAAAATATTTTTCTAATAAACTTACATTGTCATGTTCAACTGAATTGGAAAACTAAAATCAGAAAAAAGCTGGAAAATAATAATTTTTTATGTGAAATCTGCATTAAAGTTCAACATTTTTGATACATATTTTATGTGTCTGAAAAAACCTCTAATGCTCACCAAAGCTGGATTAATTGACCATGAGTTCTATCATTTTATTCTATGAACTATTATCGTAATACTTTAAAGTCACGATTCATGCTATTAACATGAAGTTGTGTATACAGCAGAGTAAATAAGTATTGAACACGTCACCATTTGTCTCAGAAAACACATTTCTAAAGGTGCTGTTGATTTGAAATTTTCACCGGATGTTGATGGCAACCAAAGAAATCCACATATGCTAAGAAAACAAATCTAATTAGTTTACAAATAAAGTTATGTGTGATAAAATGAAATGACACAGGGAAAAAGTATTGAACACATGAAGAAAGGGAGGTGTAGAAAGGCAGTGTAAAGGCAGGATAAAACCAGAGTGGAGATTTCATCAAGACAATGATCGACAGCCACGGAAACTCTCAAATTCTTTCAGAGAAAGAAAATCAAGCTGTAGAATGGCCCAGCCAATCATGTGATTTGAATCCAATAGAAAATACGAAATAAAGATCAGATTTGTTAGACGAGACCCACAGAACCCTCAAGATTTTTATACACTGTTGAAATCTGTGGAAAAAAAAATCACACCTGAGCAATTTGAGTGACTTCATTCTCTATATGAGAGACGTCTTTAAGCTGCCATCACCAAAAAAGCCTTCTTTATAAAGTATTATATACAGTAAATTTCAGTTGTTCAGTACTTTCTCCTTGTGTCATTTCACTGTTATTACACACAACTTATCTTTAAGATTATTTTGAATTTGTTTGTATTTTGTATTGTTGGTGTTTTTACCAAAATTTGATTAAATTCCATGTCAACAGCTTCTTTATAAATATTATTCTCAGGATAAAACATGATGCTTTCAATAATTATTTCCACTGCTGTAGATTTTGTGTAGGATTAGGGATGTAGAATAAAAATCTTTTTAAAAATCTGTTAATATCACAAAACTAGGCAGATAATAAGCCAGTAGCTAATACAGTGAATTATGACTTAAACTAAAGTCTTATCATTATTATGAACAATTTCTAAACTTATCATCACATACAATTGAATTTAAGCATCTTTAGTGTCATGTGATCCTTTAGAAATCATTCTAATTGGCCATTTTAGTGATCAAGAATGATTTTTCATCATTAATGACATTGAAAACTGTTTTGCTGCTTAATAAAAAAAAAAACATTAATTTCCAGATTATTTTGATTAACAGAAAGTTTAAAACAAGCGTATTACTTCTGTGACTGTCTTTACTCTCAATTTTACCCAACTTTGCATAATAAAACTGTACTGATTTGAGCTGTAGTCTAAGTTCTGTTTAGAAACATTCGCTTAGAAACTGTAACTGCACCTTTAACACCATTCAATTCTCTAGCTGTGTAAATAACAGCTTTCAGTGCTCATGTGTCAAATGTCTGAAATAATACTCTGGTTTCTAGTGTGTTAATTATAAACCACCCTGCCAGCATCATACATTACCTTGATGTGCATTAACATACAAACAGCATAAGTATCTGTTACTGGAAAAACAAATAGGAGCAGTGTGCTTGTGACTGACTCTGATTGATTGATGAAATTGAGAGAGTGTATCAGAGATTTGCTCCTCACCGCTTTGTAAAGCTGTCTGGCCATATACGCTCTGAGGATGCACTGCATGGCCAGCGCGGCAGCCTGCTTGCGTTTGTAACACGTTTTCTGGATGTACATGCGCTGGTACTTCTGAATAATGATCGCAGCACGTGTGCGACGCAGGAATTTGGCAAGACTGTGAAGAAAGGAAGAACAACACAGACGTAAATGTATACTCATTTCTTTACCTCAATCTTATATTATATTATTATAGGTGTTATAAGACATTACAGGTGTTATAAGACATTCATTAGCCATTATTATTAAAGCTTACAAATTTGGTAATGACTTTTGACTGCATTATGAGGAAATTGGTCTCAAATTATTCCTTGGGTCATGCCGACAACACAGATACCAATTACAGTGCATCCGAAAGGTATTTATAGCGCTTCACTCTTTCCAAAGTTTCTTATGTTACAGCCTTATTCCAAAAATGGATTAAATTCATTTATTTCTTCAAAACTCTACACACAATACCCCATAATGACAATGTGAAAAAATAGTTTTTTAAATTGTTGCAATTTTTTTTTTTTTAAATCCTGAAAATTCACAAGTACATAAGTATTCACAGCCTTTGCTCAATATTTGTTTATGCACCTTTGGCAGCGATTACAGTCTCAAGTCTTTTTGAATATAATGCCACAAGCTTGGCACACCTGTCTTTGTGAATTTTTGCCCATTCCTCTTTGCAGTACCTTTCCATCTCTATCAGGTTGGATGGCAAGCGACGGTGTACAGCCATTTTCCGATCTCTCCAGAGATGTTCAATAGGATTTAGGTATGGGCTCTGGCTGGGCCACTCAAGGACATTCACCAAGTTGTTTTGAAGCCAACTCTGGAGAACTATGAAGCAGATTTTCATTCAGGATGTCTCATTGCTGCATTCATCTTTCCCTCTATCCTGACTAGTCTTCCAGTTCCTGCTGCTGAAAAACATCCCCACAGCATGATGCTGCCACCACCATGCTTCACTGTAGGGATGGTATTAGCCTGGTGATGAGTGGTGCCTGGTTTTCTCGAAACGTAACGCCTGGCATTCACTCTAGAGAGTTAAATTTTAGTCTCATCTGACCAGAGAATTTTGTTTCTTGTGGTCTGAGAGTCCTTCAGATGCCTTTTGGCAATTTCCAGGTGGGGCGTGGCGTCCGTCTGGCCACTCTACCATACAGGCCTGATTGGTGGATTGCTGCACAGATGATTGTCCTTCGGTAAGGTTCTCTTATCTCCATGTAAGAATGCTGTAGCTCAGACAGAGTGACCATCGGATTACGGGTCATCTCCCTGACTAAGGCCCTTCGTACCTGATCACTCAGCTTAGATGGCCGGCCAGCTATAGGAAGAGTTCTGGTGGTTCCAAACATCTTTCACTTATGGATGATGGAGGCCACTGCGCTCATTGGAACATTCAGAGCAGCAGCAGAAAAAATTTTTGTAACCTTTCCCAGCATTGTGCCTTGAGACAATCCTGTCTCGGAGGTCTACAGACAATTCCTTTGTTTTCATGCTTGGTTTGTGCTTTGGCATGCACTGTCAAGCCTGGGAGCTTATATAGACAGGTGTATGCCTTTTCAAATCATGTCCAATCAACTGAATTTACCACAGGTGAACTCCAAATAAGCTGCTAAAACATCTCAAGAATGATCAGTGGAAACAGAATGTACCTGAGCTTAGTTTAGAGCTTCATGTCAAAGGCTGTGAATACTTATGTACATGTGATGTTTCAGGTTTTTAAATTTTTTTTAAAAATTGCGATAATTTCAAAAAAATCTTTTTTCACATTGTGTATTGTGTGTAAAATGTGGAGGAAATAAATGAATTGAATCCATTTTGGAATAAGGCAGTTACATAAAAAATATGGAAATTGAAGTACTATGAAATTTTTCCGAATGCACTGTATGCCATTATCTGCCAAACTTCCTGTCCGCCATGTTGATTTAGTTCAAAACATTCTTTTTTAACTCCTCCAAGACCATTGGTCCAATTTTGACCAAATTTGACTTGGATCATCTTCAGACCATGTAGAGTAAAAGGCATTGAATTCATGTGGATAGATAAAACTGCTGTCATTTAGCATATGCAAAAACTTGATGTAATTTTGCCAGATGACATCACAGGCTGATTCACTGCAATGGTTTGAAGTAATGAAACCAAACTTAAAGTGTGTGATCTAGACCTGACATTGACCAAACTACATCAGTTTGAGCCGCCTTCGGGGTATAATTGACAAACAATTAAATTCTATCAGTGGACATCATACAAATTTTATCAACTGACTTTTGAATAGTGTTTTGTTTATTGTCGCAAGACTTGTCTTGCTAGATTCTTTGGATTATACAAAGAACATTGGTATAATTAATTCCCTAACTGACACAACTTCCTGTCCACCATCTTGAATTAGTTTGAATATCTGTTGTTTTGAACTCTCCATAGATCATTAGCCCAATTTCCAACAAATTTGGCTCAGAACATGCTGCTAAAAAGATATATATTTTTCCAGGTGCTCTGTAGCTTGTTGCTGTGCTTGTTTATGATGTGGCCACTTGGCTGCTTGTCCCCGATAATTACTGCTTGCAGCTATATTTTTAAATGGTTCTGCTTTTCATAAATGTAGTCTGGCTACGCCCACTATGCACTAGTCCCCTTCCCTCACCAGCGGGCCTGGTATCCACGGACGAATCTCTGGATAGTCGTGGCAGCATGCTTCATACGCAGGTACTTCTTGCGTGCCAGCCAGCAGCGGATGGTCTTCTGGATGCGGATACAGGCAGCGCGCAGCTTATCAGCACGCAGTTTCTCCAGGTATGCAACCTGACCTGCGCGGAAAAAAATCTTGGTCTTTCCAAACTGGTACTTATCTGGATCCTATCAAGAGGAAAGAAAAAAAAGACACAAATAAGACTGCTGTTAATGTTGCAATCATACTGAGTGTTTTAAAGCTACTTTACAGCATTATGCTCTTTGTATTGAGTTCACCCATATAGACTAGTATCAGTCTTCAACTTGTACCTGCACCAGTTTCTCCAGAACATTCTTACAGGTCATCTTCTTGTCCGTCAGAACATCTTTTTGTTTCATCAGTACACGATACCTGCTAAAGAACTCTTGATACGTCCACCTGACGAACGAAAGCAGTTGCACAAATGGTCAGAAAGTGTGACAAAAGGAATTGAGGTAGGGTTATGTATAGTTCTTCAGTGTACCTCGATGGGAAACCAGCTGCAGAGATGCGGATTGTTTCCAAAACTCCACAAGCACGCAGTTGCTGCACTGCCCTCTTGGGGTCAAACCTGGTAATAGCAAAATATTTACAAGTCTAGCAACACTGTGATCCTGTAGTCACCAATAGTTGTGAAAAATATACCGCATTCAAAATTAGTCTTGGCTAAACTAGATAACATTTTGGTGCATGATTGAAAAAAAATATATATATATATATTCTACCAGCTAATACTTTACGAGGTTTTTATATAAGATGCCAAAGATTTCAAATGTTTTATTGAACTTATTCTTTGATGTGGACATGCGGGAAGTTTTTTGTGATTGTTTTAGAACTTCTGATTCAGTTGCCAATGGGAGAAATGACTAGGAATGATAAACGTCAAGAACTGTGAAACTGCTTGCTCTACAAACAAGTGTATTCATGACACTACAAACAAAGCAGAATAATAGGAAAACATCAGTTTGCAACAACAAGCAGAATAACAAGCAGTTTTTAACGTCTAAAAATGAATAGTAGTGAATGAGACAGGAAGTCTCAAGCTAAAAAAAAAATCTAATGACTGCACAAGCCCGTTTTCAAAGAATAAGGTGAATCGAACAGCAAAGAACTAGACTAACTAGTTTCTATAAACTTGGAAACATTCAAGATTATCATGTTTCTTGTGTGCTTTGAACAGTCCTTCCAGAATTTTGTGGTTCTTGAGAACAAAAATAAATAAATAAATAAACAATGCTGGTGTAAATAAAATAATTGAAGCAAATAATGCCATATATTTTGAGAAAAACATTGATATTTTAAAAATGAATATTTATATTTATTTCTCAGTGACTATAGGTAATATTTCGTGCATTTGAACAAAACAGATTAATTTAAGGGATATATTTATCAAAATAATATTTTAGTCACTGTACATCTTTAGAAATGGAGAGATAATACATTTAAACAATGCAAAATATTATAAAAAAATCACAAACTACAAAATTTCAACAGAATTTATACATATATATATATATATATATATATATATATATATATATATATATACAGTACATACTGTATGTATGTGTATATATATATATTGATGTTAGATGTTTCTCTTGATTCTTGCTCTTTAATAAAATCCTTGATTAATACATTTTCCTAAAACTAATAATTTTTGGATCGTAATCGCTAATCATTCTTTAAGATTAGCTCCAGATTTGAGATCTAATGTACAATATATGCACAAATGTATTATTGTATAGAATTATATAGAAAATATTCATTTGTTTATATTACATATGTGCAATATATTATATCCCTGCAAAATCCTGGACGGACTGTTTAAAGATCTTAAATTGAATGAATCTGATCACAAATAAAAACGTTTTGTTGCAAAAAAAAAAATTATCAATTCAGTCAAATCTGCTAACACTCATGCATAGAAAATTATGCAATTTCTGCGAGCTCAACTTCAATGATGCTTTCTACTTCAAGTTGTTCGTTTACATAAAATCCCACTTACATGAAATAAACATATGTGTCAGCTGTGGTCACTGTTAGATAAATATCTTAACAAAAACACTTTTAAAATAAACAACCTCCTTTTTTGTAGCCACAAACCTACTTAATTTCTAAATTATTCTTAATTTAATTCATTTCTTACATATTCTTAATTTATTTAAAATAGTTCTTAATTTCTATGTTCTGTATACTCTATTCTGTACCATACTAGAAAGCTGACTATTCTGAATCCAAATATATAAGCAGGAGTATGCTTAAAAATATGAAAACAGATATCTATAGTGGGAAAACATAGCCAAATAACATACGTGAAGGCATGTTTGTAATCGTTGGGTTTAATGCATCGAACATAATGAGGTGTAGTGGCATTCAGTGTCTCCATCAGCAGCTGCAGAGAGTTCCGGAACTGCAGAAAGAAAGAAAGAGAGAGAAATGAAGCTACTGTCCAATAAAATACAACTTACAGATATTCAGCACAAGCCGTAAGAGGAACGCCTTTGCACCTGCAGTCCGACTGTCTTCTTGTGTTCTTTGCTGGCTTGGCTGGATTTGCCCTTGTCTGGTTTGACACTGAGGCGAGTGCGTCCTCCAGGGCCAGGGGCAGCACCGGTGGGACTTGTGGCTTTCTCCTCATCATGGAACAGCTCCACTAGCAGGTCAAACTGGAAATTACAGCAATAACGGAATTAACACAAGCCATGAGGCAGCAGGATGGGCAGATATACCTAGATCATCTAGATGCACTTTTTTTTTTTACTTAAGCCCAAAGTATACTTTTTATGTTTTTATGTGCATGTTTGTGTTCATAAACAGTAAAATGCAGAGCCTTTCAAAGCCTATATTGTTATTTGAAGGCATGCATGACTATCCAAGAATATAGTTTAAAAAGATTTACCGTAGTCCGTTCTTCTTTTACCTCCAAAAGTTAATAGAATTATTATTAATAATAATGTCAATGTGGTTGTTTAAAATAGAGAGGCAGATAAATGTTCACTTTATATTATATTTTCTATTCTGTAAATAAAGAAAAAATAATTAGTCCTTCTTGAAATTGTGATTCATTTTCAGATATTTCCCAAGTGAGGTTTAATAAACATGCATTTTTTAACATGTTTAATTACAATAACACATTTTAATAACCAATTACTTTTGAATTTGACCTTGATGAGGATACATATTTTACCAGTAATTTTACAAGGTACTTGTATTTAACTTTAAAGGCTTAACTGTGTTAATTGTGTTAAAGTAAGGTAAATTAGGTGAATCACAAGTGGTTTGTTCTGTAGTCAATCAAAAAAAAAAAAAAAATCTTCAAGGGAATAATAATAATAATAATAATAATAATAATAATTTTTTGACTTTCAATTAAAAAAAAAAAAAACAAATAAAATCTTTAATTCCAGCTAAACTAAAAGAAAAAAAGACTTACATAAAAATTATAATAGTAAACACTTTAAAAAATGTAAAACTCTGTTGAAACTTAACTTGGAAAATATTTTAAAAATAATAAAAATTTCAACAAAGGCGAATTGAAAATTTTTTAAAAACTTGTTTTGACCTTCTAACACTTGCATATATACTTACCTTTATACGTATATACATACGAAAAGATGAATTATAGAAACAAAATTATTCTTCTATTGCATTAAAACTCACTTTTGGCAATAAAAAATTTCATTTTATGAAAATAAACACAAAAGAAACAAAAGCTTATTTTGAGGGGATTTTTTGAGTGAATCTTTTAACATAATAATGGCAATAATAACTAACCATATGCACATATTTGGAAAAATTGGGTATGTGCATTATGTACTGATGACACAACATGCATTCAAATGAAAACGGATCAATACTTTGGGCTTAAGAAATGCAAAGTTCTTAGAAAAAAGGCAATTAATTAAACCTAATGTAATTTTACAGAAATATACATGTTAGCGAAGCTACATCTAAATTCAGTCCTCACTCCTATTATAAGCACTTGATCCTGTTCTGAACATGTAATTCTTTGCAGGAGTGACAACCACATTCTACTAAAGCAATAAAGCCACAAGAAGCACTGATTATAAAACAACCAAGATGAGTTGTTCAAAGAAAAAGAGAAAGATTGACATATATATAAATTCACTGTAAACCATGGATTCACAGGAAATATTAAATTCATAATACATTAACTCCAATTAACTGGGGGGATTTCATAAGATAAAACATGCAACAACAGATAAACTAATCTAATGTTAAAGTTGTGTGTGCATAGAATGTTTTAAAATGCATTTGATTGTGGCTCATCAATAATAAATCAAAGACTGGTTTATCCATTTAAAAATATTCACATAGTAAGCAAAGAATTTTGATCATCAAAACAAGCAACTCATTATACAGTAGGACAGTAATGAACACTAAAGTCCATGTACTCTGATGATGTCCCGAGTCTCGTTTAAAACTGATCGCATGAATTCTAAAGGACTCTGTACTAAGCAGCATGCAGACTAAGCAAAATAGTAGTCCTTATGAGACGAAAACAGTCTAAACATCAAACCACTCACTACAAACAAACTCTGTATTGTTATGTCATCTCGGTGCCTTTTACGTTATACGTTACGTTTTTTTTTTTTTTTTTTTTGTATGCAGCATGTCTTTGTTCACCAGAAATGTCAAAATTCTGTTATCATTTATTCTCCTTCACAATGTTTTAAACCAGTATGCTCTCAGTTTTCAGTGTTTCACATTCTAACATTGCGTTTTGGCATCTTTTCCTTCACAAATGCATCAATCAAACTAAACGCTTGAAACTATTTAAATAAATTATAAATTATAAATTATAAATTATATATATATATATATATATATATATATATATATATATATATATATATGGGCAATATCACACTCCTAGCAGTGTGATATGGCTGTATATTGGCACTAAATACAGCCATATCACACTGCCACAAGTGTGATATTGAGTTTATACAACAGTTTGATTGCATAATTGTGTATATAAAAACTAAATCAAACATGGAGAGTCTCAAAAACCCTTTTGTATGAGGAGCTACTTTCTTCTGCCTTGGATTCAAATCATAAGCTGACAGTTAAACAGCTGAGCAAGCTTCTTTTAAACTTTATCTGTAATGTCTGCTTTTTGCTGGCTGTATGTGGGCGGAGTAATACACAAAGGGTAAAGAGGCTGTACGGGATATTGCGGCTATCAGCCAATCAGATTCAAGAACCAGACAGAACTGTATATATATATAAATATTGTCCAATCTACACTCCTCCAGCTTTTTTGACACATAAAAAAAGAACATTTTGGAAAAGCCAAAGCCCCAATTTAGTTTTAAAACACAATGTTACATTTCAGTATAGATGAAATGTATAGTAGTCCACACGAACATGAATTCTCAAAACCACACTTTTCACTTTTTTTAACATGGTTTCGCTGTTTGTCTACACAAGAACAGAGTATCTAATGACTAAAACTAAAAACTTTCTGAAAACTCCAGCCAGGGGGAAAATTTTCACTTTATGTTTTTGCTTCAAGACGTCAAAGTGCGCTATGTTTTCTCCTTTCTGATTGGCCAACACCAAAGACGCCAATATTACCCGTTTGTGGTCAATGTTTGTTCCACATTTTTCGACCGCTGGAGAGTATTCCACCTCTGTTCTGTTTGCATTGAAAAACATGGAAAACTCCCTTCATAAATATAGCACTTTAAGTGTGGACATGGCCTTAACTGTTTGCTTTTTCACTTTTTACTATAAACTGAGAATGAATAAAAATGGTCAGAATCTTCATTTCTGGGTGAACAGTCCCTTTAAGAGCATTAATGTCTGTTTAATCTAAACAGATGCGTCGTTCTATCCAAGCAGCCGAGTTTGTTTGTATGGAGTGTGGGCTCTAGAGCTGAAGCCAGTTTATTTTCCTACAGAATCAGTGCAGTGTTCAATAAGATTCTGTCCTGCACTGCAGAAAGCAACAGACTCAACATGCTGACACACACGCGCACACTCACACACTTGTTAACATGCATTCCATCTTAGTATTTGTAGCTACTGCAAAACTGTGATATTAGATAGATTATAGCGCTAAAGAGTGCATTTATAGGCTGAGTTTTACCTTCTGCAGGGGTACAGGTTGTCATGTTCACATACAACACATAGACAACATGACATGATGAGAAAACAGAAACAGAATTAACAAAAGCAGAAAATACAGATACATAAGACAGATGTAGTGTACTTGAACAGCGAAGCAGCTCAGACACCAGCTTGGAAACATAATGTTGACTTGACAAATCCAGTATGCTTAAAAAAAAAAAATAATAATAATAATAATAATAATAATAATAGATTATCTATATTTTCTAAATCCCAAAACCTGAGAATACAATGTGCATGCAATGTGAAATCCCTCTTAAAAGCAAGGTTTAACCAAAAACAAGGTTGCTGTTAATTTAATCACACTCTGGCTATTTAAAATATACACTACCTGACAAAAGTCTTGTCGCCTATCCAAGTTTTAGAAACAACAAATAATAACTTGACTTCTAGTTGATCATTTGATATGAAAAGTGGCTTATATGAAAGGCATAGGCCTCTAGATTACACTTATTTTACCATTATAAAATATGATCATGCCTTGTTTTTATAATTATTTAATTAGGACAGTAAGGTCTGACTTTACTGTTGTCACAACATAAATAATGTACAGTATAGAATATGTCATGGTGCAATGGAAATCGAATGAGTATTGTGTATGACTCCCATAAGCTTGGACGATCCATGCATCTCTGCTCAAATAACTTATAAATAATAAAGTCATCTGAAATGGCAAAGAACGCATTCTTGCAGGACTCCCAGAGATCATCAAGATTTTTTGGATTCGTCTTCAATGCCTCCTCCTTCGTCTTACCCCAGACATGTTCAATAATGTTCATATCTGGTGACTGGGCTGGCCAATCCTGAAGCACACTGACCTTCCAAACGGTCAACTAGAAGTCAAATTATTTGTAGCTCCTACAACTGGGATCGATGACAAGTTTTTTGTCAGGTACTGTAGGTCCCTTTTTTCCAGAAGAACATTAAAGAAGGTTTTTATATGAAACTGCAATTTTGGTGTTTTATGCTATGTAAGTTATGGCAAAATAAAATTAATACTGGTGACTTTTGACCAGTTACTGCAGTCGTATGAAGTGAAACAACCGAAACATTATTTTTGATATATCACAACAGCTTAAGTTACAGTCACATACTGACATATACCGTTGAAGTCAGAATTATTAGCCCCCCTTTGATTTATTATTATAATTTTTTTGTCTTTTTTAAAAATTTCCCAAACTATGTTTAAAAGAGGAAGGAAATTTTCACAGTATGTCTGATAATATTTTTTCTTCGGGAAAAAGTCTTATTTATTTTATTTCGGCTAGAATAAAAACGGTTTTTAATTTTTTAAAAGCAATTTTAAGGACAAAAGCCCCTTTAAGCTATATTCCCAACCCCTCCCCGACAGCCTACAGAACAAACCAATGTTATACAATAACTTGCTTAATTATCCTAACCTGCATAGTTACCCTAATTAACCTAGTTAAGCCTTTATATGTCACTTTAATCTGTATAGAAGTGTCTGGTAAAATATCAAGTCAAATATTATTTACTGTCATCATGGCAAAGATAAAATAAATCAGTTATTAGACATAAGTTATATAAACTATTATCTTTAGAAATGTGCTGAAACAATCTTCTCTCCGTTAAACAGAAATTAGGGAAAAAATAAACAGGGGTGCTAATAATTCAGAGGGGCTAATAATTCTGACTTCTTTAGGAATCACATATGATCACATAAAATATTTTCTTCATGCTTTATTGAAAAAAAAAGTAGTGTACATCAGCTAACAGCTATTTTTTGTTCTGTTGAACAACTTTTCTGCACATGTACAGAAAAAAACAACACAGGTTTGTCAAGACAACATCATATTGTCTTTTAAAGAACACATTTATTATCTTCAGATTCAACTCTTCAGATGTTTTCATTATTTTTACCTGGTGTCTGGCTTTAAATCCATATGAAAACATAAATGTGTACATGGTAGATGAAGTAAGCAAACACACTCATGGTAATATGAACTGTTGATCAATGATATGAATGGGAAGCAAAAATGAATACGGTAAATGAGTGAAGGATTTGGATTAACCACTAACAAACTGATGTGGATAAGCACCAGAGAGCGAGCCTATTACTGATATGGATTGTTAATAACATTTGAAGCAACATTAGACTTAAAGACTAATTCTGCCAATCAAATTGAGTTGAAGGCATTATTATTATTATTATTATTTTTCAGTCTGGATTAGTACGCCATGTGTTTGCTCTTACCGCACACATTTACTGTCTCACGCTGAGGAGAGAAAGCATTAGAAAGCATTCAAGAACCCCCAGAAGAAAATGATTATTATTATTATTTACAAAGAATCAAACTTCCAGGTTTACTTACATTTTCGTAATCAACATTTTAATGTATACATTTAAAAGTTCAACTTTTGTTCTTATTCAACTCTAGTGGTGTAACGGATCACAAATCTCAAGGTGCGGATCACATTATGTTTTTTTATTCATGGATCAGATTATTTTTCGGATCAGCCAAAAAGGACAGGAGACAAATGTAATTTGTTTTTCATTTATTACAAAGACAGTACTACAGGACACTTTTGGTTTGAACAAACAGAACTTAGAACCTGTCGTTTTATTAAAAACACAATGAAGACATAATCAGCTGAATAAAAATAAATTGTTAAAAACTACTACTGTTGCTGATAATGTATAAATCTAACATTATAATTTGTACATATTTAATTTTAGTCTCATAATCAATAAATGATTCAGTTATTTACTCATAAAACTTAATTTTTCATTGTTATTTGGATGATTTTTGAAGAATGATTCAGAGGTTTATTTTTGACGGCCACCTATTGGTTAAATAATGTAATTGCTGCCTACAACTTTCATTTTTGGGCATTGTTAAATGCATATGATGGTGATTTTAATCTGTACCATGAACATCAGTGCTTTTATTTAAACTATTAACTGTTATCCCAGCACTTCCGTGTTATTTGACTGTTTGTAAGCTAAAGACTGAGGGCCCTATCATACACCCGGCGCAATGTGGCGCAAGGCGTGACGCAATTGTTACTTGCTACTTTTAGCTCGGCGCAAGGGTCATTTTGAGGTGTTGCTCCACGCTTTTTAAATAGCAAATGCATTTGTGCTCATATGTGCGCCCATAGGTCTGGTCTAAAAAAGCAGGCGTGTTTTGGTGCATTGCTGGCGCGTTGCTACTTTGAGAAACTGTAATAGTCTGTTCTTTAGACCAGAACAAACCTGGTCTAAAGTCTGGCGCAGAGCACGTTAGTTGTGCGCCTCGCTTGCACAATGCTTAATACACACAAGATGTAGAGCAATATGCAAATATCTTTACATATGAAAAGAATTAAAATATTAAAGATATATATAGGATATAATAAGGATATATATAGGATATAAATATAAAGAATTAAAATATTACATAACAGATTATTTTCTAGCCTACATGAATTTAAAAACCACTGCCTTGAATCCTTCATCTCGTTAGGGTTTTTCAGTTCATTCAATTTGCTTTTGTATGATGTTATTATTATTAGCAGTATTATTTATTATATCCATATTTATATTTGTTTTATTAAAAACAAGCTTAGACTTGCCCACCAGTCAGGTTTTAGACCATATGGGGCATAGCAGGTGTATTTGGAAATAACTCAGTATTTTGACCACCCTTCGTTATTATTGTTCATTTATTCGTTTGCTGGAAATTAGAACTGACTTTAAAAATAGTTTTGAAACAAATCTTTGCGCTTAACAAATGAAATTAATTAATTATAGGCTAATTGCATAAAGGTTTCCCTATCCACGAGAGCAAAAGTGAAAGTGAACTTACTTTACGTCCTGTAAATATAGCAAATGCGCTAATGGCGTGACACAAGGCTCTTAAAGGGAATGGGAGATGAGACTCTGATTGGTTTATTCTCAAAACACACCTATAACTCATTAAGAAAATAAACTCAACCCTTTTAGACCATGCGCCAAGGCGCAAAGCGGATTTTCCCGTCCTCATATTAGCACATATGGATTCTGACACTCCCTGAATGCGTTTGCGCCCTGCGCCCTCCGTCTTGCGCATGGACCGTCAAAATAGAGCCCTGAATCTTTTTCTTAATTTTTGCGTTTTCAGATTTGAATGCAGCGATTCGAAGGATTAATAAACATATGCAAATCACCATCCTTTATAATCTATTATGCATAGGTGTTGAGATCCTGATCATTTAATGATTAATCGTGCAGCTTACAGTGAATGCATTAATGCAGGCTAAACAAGTAGCATCAGAAAACACCTTTAATAACTTAGGAACCCACCACATCCAGAATAACCTACCACAACCTAAATGCTTTTATACATCATCCTTACAAATTTAGTATTAAACTACAAGGGGAAAAAAGTAATAAGCCGCAGGACACCTGTGTTCCAAACTGCGAGTTGTGATCCATATGAATTGCGGATCAACTGTGATCCGTTACACCTCTATAAGGTACCAGTACCAAATAATAAATCCTAGCATATATATTACTAGTATTTCATAAATGAGTATTTAATATACAAGAACATGTTTCTTTTAAAAATGCCTAAACTATAAACACTTGTAGTCAATGAATAAGTATAGAAATTATCGAAATAGATAAACACAAATACTACTACTGAGTCTTACAGATGAAATGCTTAAGTGGCTTGCCATAGCACTCTATCTTTGCCTCCCTTGTGTAATTGTGAAATATTTTGAATACCTTCCTGAAAAATCCACATAACACACCCCTGGCCCTGAAGGCACAGTTGAAGGCATGAGTTTGACATCCTAATACAAGCTGGTATGCAGTGTTTTTTTCTGTCCGAATGCGTCTCTTTAAAGAGCAGTCAGATGTAGAACTGCTGAGTCATGCTAAAGCTAATAAACAGGTCTGTACTGTCAATACTCCAGATGCTAACTGTGTGAACTAAGAAAGAACAAGGATACTTAATGACTAAAACAAGTAGAAATATGAAAGTATACACCTGGAGCTGTATATATTTAATGCTGAAACTGTGACACCAGGCTGAACTAATGCTTCTTGAGCAGCAGATGGCAGCGTTCCATTGACCTTCTCAGATTTTAAGCCTAATTTAAGGTCAAAATATTGAATGAAAGCACCCTGTTTAGGGCTGATTTTATGATTTTATGGCTGGTTTTCTCTAATAGTCACTTACTTCATTAAAGTGTATTAGTTTCAGGTTTATAAACTGCTGCATATGACCTAGTGTAATGGCTATTTTTGTTTTGGTTCAACCCTGTAAGACTTATTTAAGGTTTTATTGGAATTATCCTGGTTCTAGGCCAACATATCAGAACGTTTCTTTGGTAAAAAATGGGCAGAAGTCAGAATGACATACTGATTTTCACTCACCTTACTGGCCTTCAAAACATTTATCTGCTCCTCATTCACCGTGTCTTTATTCTTCTCCAGAAAACCATCACATTGATACTCCACCTGACAGACACAGAAAGACAACAGAAGTTACTTTGTTGCAAAGACCAATCATATATGAGTATTTTCTTACTCTGCAGTAATAAAAAAAAACTACTTCTCCAATCTTCTAAAGACAATATAATGTATTTAGATTGTAAGATTTAGTAATACAATAATGTTTAAGCTAAAGTTATTATTTAAAATATTATAGAATCATTGCTAGTATTATGGTACTTATTTAGATTTTCATTTTACATTTTCTGTATTTATTATAATTGATGTTAGTAACCAAGTTGTGTTTATACAGTTGTAACTATAATTATATTTATTTACTCTCTAAGTAAGTAAGTAAGTTTTATTTTAGTGTTCATTCTCTCTCTTTTGTCTGTTGTAATGCTGCATTTATACCATAGTAATCTGTTAGTGTTTGCTTTGCTCTGGCTTTTCCGGGTTAATTTTCGTGATCTCCAGATTCCATAAGAGAAATACTGAGAGATCTCTGTAGATTGTTGGCATTTTATGCCGTTCAGCCTTATAATCTTAAAATGTAAGCAAAATCACCTGTTTTGCCATCACTTTAGACATTTTGCTAGAGAATTTCTTTATTTTAATTGAAGTTAGTAACTAAGTTGTGTTTAGTGTGTTTGTATAGTTGTAACTATAATTATAATTACATTTATTTACTCTGTAAGTAAGTAAGTAAGTTTTATTTTAGTGTCATTGCAACTGTCATAGTTTTTGATTTTTGCATTCAAATTTTTGGCTTTTAATTTTCAACTTTATAATAATTTTCGATAAAGTTTTAGTATTTTTGTTGTTGTTTACTGTTTACTGCTTACTGTTTTTTATATATATATATATATATATATATATATATATATATATATATATATATATATATATATATATATATAGATATTCTGTCTGGTTCTCGAATCCAATTGGCTGATAGCGGTGAGATTTTTTGCAATTTCAAAACTCGTACAGCCTCTTCACTCAAGTGTATTACTTCTCCCTTATAGAGTAACTGCAGATTAATAAACTCACTACAGTTAGACAAATATTGCAGCTGCTAGACAACAAAATGTACTTTTTAAAGGCTTTTTAAGGTGAAAATGTAGTTGTTTAGACTGCAGCTATGCAGTTTATTCATAAGGATAATGCCTATTTTATATATTCATAATTTCGGAGAGTCAGCATGTCCGCGGCCAGCCTGTCATAGTGAGCAGAGCAAAGATAGTTGACGTTCCGCCACAAGATGGCGACAGAGACTGCAAAATAAGTCCTTAGAGCTGGAAAACAGCATTTTCTCAGCCAAATCTCTTTCTATTGTATGTTGTAGTGCTGTATTTACACCATAGTAATCTGCTAGTGTTTGCTTTGTTTTGGCTTTTCTGGGGTTAATTATTGTGATCTCATTGCAACAAAGACATACTGGGAGATCTCTGTAGACTGATGGCATTTCATGCTGTTCAGCTTATTAATCTTAAAATGTGAGCAAAATAACCTGTTTTGTAATCACTTTAGAAATTACACTAGAGAATCATTCAAATACTAGCTCAAAAGTGACATTGGTGAATGAGCAATGGTTTCTGCTGTTCTGACGTCAGCTGTAGATGTGTATGAAAGGCGGAAGAAGGTAATTCCTCATTTGATTTACTTTATATACACAATTATAACTGAACACATCAAACTTATATATAAACACAATATCACACTCGTAGCAGTGCGAATTTGGCCGTTTATCATCACTAGTGGGACATTAAGGCACTAGGCCACAACGCATGCCACCCACCAGTGTCAATATATAGCCATATCGTATACATATATATACACACATACATAACATTAAATAAATCCAACATTATATAAATAATCCATTATATTAAATGGGTATTATTTAAAGTATCGTACATGAGTAGTGCTGATTAGAGAGGTCATGCCTGATTTAATCCTGATGGTGTTTAAGAAAGCACCTGCTAAAGTTCAAGCTCAAGTTCGACTCTGTCTATTGAATGTCTAGCGCACACACTAAATGTGTCTTATGACCCCCGACTCCATCAGTGTTTCCTTATACATTGAACACCATTTCTAAAAACAGATCTGTAGCCTTCATGTGAAGAGGTTTGCAGAAACTCCGTGTCATACAAACAACAGTCTTTCACATGAAGAAGACTTGACTCTGTTTACAGCCTGTGGTTAGCATGTTGCTAAGCTAACAGTATGACACTAAAATAAGCTTTATTTAAAACCTATTGAACTGTATTAAGGTGTGTTTACAAAACATAGTTTACAACAGAAGTTTACTTAGTTTATATGAAGTGTAATTAATTTCTAAAATGTCAATCAGTTTTAGACAGTAGGAATTGCTTGTCTGTTTGTTACTGTACAGCTATGGAAGGAATTAAAGGGATAGTTTACCCAAAAATGAAAATATGCTCACTATTTACTTACCCTCAAATGATTTCAAAACTGTTTGAGTTTCTATATTCTGATGATCACTTAAGAAGATATTTTGAAGAAAGATAAAAACCTGTAATCATCGACGTCCAAAAACTAATACTATAGAAGTGAATAGTTACAGTTTTGCAGCTTTTGTCAAAAAATCTTCTTTAGTGTTCATCGGAAGACAGAAACTCAAAAAGGTTTGAAAAAAGCACAGGGTGAGTAAATGATGACAGATTCTTTAAGATCTCTTTAAGACAGTGTTTGGAGGACCATCTACGCTGCATGTTTGGATGTCTCCTTTGTCTGTCACACTCATTACAGGTCTTTAAGTCTCTGCTAATGAGCTGATGATATGAATCAGGTGTGTTTGGTTAAGAAGACACTGGAAAATGTGTAGAGTTGGTGACTTGAACATTTTCTCCAGAAATACAATGTTATATATAATTGTTGTTTGTTTTGTACTGCAAACTACTCATGTTGTTTTTTTTATAAATTTAAAAGAAAAAAACAATTTGTCAAATCCACAAAATCGTGCCATGTTGTCACACATGATTATATATTCATTTTTAGACAACACATTACCAATGTTTTAATTTTAGAAGAGTTAGGAAAGCAATTTGGTAAAAAAGAAAAAAAAAGAAAAAAAAAAGAAAAGATTTTTCAACACAACAATATTTAAAAAAAACTTTTCTGACCAGTTATCTTTTTAGAATATATATATATATATATATATATATATATATATATATATATATATATATATATTTATTTATTTATTTATTTTATTTATTTTTTGAAACAAAAATTGTGATTTTTTTTATGCATTTATGCGTTTATGTGTAAAATCCTAATGTTTATTTTGTATATAACATTTACCTAAATGAAAAATTTTTTTTTGCTAATGTTGTCATTTAAAAAGGCGGCAACACCAAACCTCCAAAAATGCCAATTTAGTGAATTAAAAAGGCTGATACAAGGCATAAAAAACGTTTCGAGCAGACCGGCTCTTCATCAGACAGTGTTTATCACAGTATGTTGATCTTTTTATATTACGTAACATTCAAATGTTACATTTAAACATAACATTCTTTCAAGAGTTCACACTCCCCCCTGAAGCACCCGGGGAAAACCCACAAGAGCACAGAGAGAACATGAACTCCGCACAGAAATGCCAACTGGCTGGGTAGAGACCCGAACCGGAGGCATTCTTGCTGTGAGGCAACAGTGCTAGCCACTGGGCCGCCGTGCTGTTCTATAGAGGAAAAAGTGGAGTAGAGGGGGTGGAAGAGGGGATTCTTCAAGACAAAGATGACAAAGGTAAGATGCTTTGGTTATTTATACTAAGTTAGGAATTGTCTGATTGGTGGATCATACATTAGCTTGACTCAGGGCCAGCCGTATCAATCATAAGCACGTGAGCCTCTCGAAATTAGTTTATAAATAAACTTCACGTAGTGCATTTAGTTATTGCCCAGCAGGCACACAATGTCATAAGATGTTAATATTAGGTTAAATTTAGGTCTTGATGTCAGGTGACCAAAATTCAATGTCTAGCCAGTGTCAAATGACGTTGATATTTGGTTGATTTTAGGTTGTGTTAGAGACGTTGAGCCAACATCTTAAACCAATGTCATATTGACATGAAATAATTTATTCGACAGGTATGGCAACCAAAATCTGATAGACGTCATAGTGGTAATGTCCACACAACATCAAACTGTAACATCATTATACTGTATATTTGGTTGATATTAGGTTGAACGTTGGACATTGACATTGGCCTGATATTGAGTTCTGAAGTGAACCTGATTTTCGTTTCCAAACAAAATGCAATGTCCCCAAGACGTTGGGGTACAACATCAATCTGACGTCATGTTGACGTCTTGTGCCTGCTGGGTGTTAAAGGCCATTTCGTCATCATACAATAAACTTCCGTCATCTTCTCATCAGTGACATGCATCTAAACAGTCTCTGGGTCAATGCCTGTAAAGATTTAAAGATCTTCTTGGACACTATTAATGGTTCCAAACAGTTTGAGAAAATTATAAATCACCCACGTCTTGAGGTAGTTCATTATGATGTGATTTACCTTCTATGTGCGATTTGATTGGACAGTAATCACAGGCCTGACTTTTCTCATCCCCATAGACAAGAAACAATAAAGTAGTGACTGCAGGTTGAAGGAAAGTAGTGGAGTAAAAGTACCAACACTGCACTAAAAATGTACTCAAGAGAAAGTAAAAGCACACATTTATAAAACTACTTAGTAAAGTACAATTACAGAGAAAAAACTAGTCAATTACTGTAGTTTGACAGTAGTTAAGTATACACCACTGATGAAATCACACAAACAGTACTATATACCAAAGCTCATCAGAAATGCTAGAGCAGCCTGTGAGTGTGAGTGTGTGTGTGTGTGTGTGTGTGGGTATACCTTATCTGCAAAGTGCTGAATAATGAAAGCTTTATTGGACATCCGCGGCTTTTCAAAAAGTGCACACGTCTTCAAATGAGTGTTATAGAGTTTCTGAGCCCAGGAGTCATCCGAACCCTTCGGCATCTGAGAGAAAAAGAGGTTGTACAGTGTACAATGTAAGAACAGTAGTATTAAACATGATTTAACTTCATGTGTTTCTCAGTTTTAGTTTTTTAAACTGTATTTTTTATACAGTACCATTACAATTTTGTTTTTGGAGTAATGTTTTGTCATTGTTTTATTACCTTTATTTTTTAAAGAAAGTCACATTATAGGCTTTTGCTAAGAAATTCTACTTAAATGTAATGATAATATATATATATATATATATATATATATATATATATATATATATATATATATATATATATATATATATATATATACATACATATATACATATACATATATACATATATATATATATATATATATATATATATATATATATATATATATATATATAATTTGTAAATTAATTAAATTTAGAATATATAAATAAATTAAATTTAATAATTAATAATAATTACTTCAGTGAAAAAATAACATTACCTAATCACCGCATCAGCTAATTATTTAAAAATTAGTAAAACAGAATACAGAGGTCAAAAATGAAATTGCAATGTACTTTCAACAAAAGGCAAGGAATTTAAAAGCTGATATTTAAAGTTACATGTTTGTTAAAGCACTTCCATAAAATCCATAGTACAAATATATGTAAACCGACTCATAAAACATCTGTAAATCATTATGCATATAATAAAATGCCTGGTTTTCAGGGATGGGCTATATGCACACAGACCTTTAATTTTCAGCCAGGCAGCCCGAGGGCTTCCAGTGAAGTGTCTTTCCATTACAAAATTATCACATTTAAGATATGATTTCTTTAAAAATCAGCTATCTTCCCTGCCTGTTAGATATATGATATGAAGTGGGTCTCACACAAGAAGCACTGCATTAAATGTCATTTCCCCGCCATGTCTTTAAAATATGACCGTTTATTTTACCCCAGTATTTTCAATGGAATTTTTGCACCATCCTGTTGCTACTGATGGCGCTAGGTCTTTCATCTCGTTTCACGCTTTAACAACTAAATGAATGCTTAAGTCTATTTAACTGAATGTATTGTGATTATATTACAACATCGATGGTGTAAAAACAGCCTTGTGAAAATCAAAATAGTCACATTAAGCTTTCACCGGAAGTTTATCGTTGGGTTTAAAACTCCAGCTGTGCATAAAGCCCATTAAATGGTTATAATAGAAATTATTTGATTTGAATACTGTGTCTGCAAAGTGTCTGAGTGTAACGTATAATGAATTGCACTATAGACTACCATTGTCTCTGCATATAGAAGTTTTTATGGATGAGAGCAAAAAATGAAACGCATTCTAAATTTACAGCAAGACTGTGACATTGCACCTTGCACTCTTCATCCAGCAGGTCCAGGATGCCCATCTTGGCCTCTATGAGGTTGATACATGGCTGATTATCATAGAAATCAATGAGAGTCCACGGGATCTGCTCTTTCATATACTCCTCCTGCTCCAACTTAAACACATGCTGGACACGAGAAGACAGAAAGATCACAATTTATTTACAGAATGGATAATTATTAACAATCAAACATGAATGGAGGAGATCTGGTCCCAAATGGCTCACCATGTTGAACTGTTGCTGTAGTTTCTCATTGGCATAGTTGATACAGAACTGTTCAAAACTGTTGATTTCAAAAGTCTCGAACCTGGAACAATAAAACAGAGCGTCACAATTCACTTTGGTAAATCTAAAACAACGTCCAGAGTTGGTAGCTGTATTATCATCCTAATGTGAAGTGAATCTTATCAAAGTTTAAAAAAAAAAGTTAAAATAAATGCAAATTAGGTGTGTTTTCATCAAGTTATTTGGTAGTATTGCTGGTGATCACCCCCCAGTGGCGATTCACGGAACAGGATCTCTCGTTTTACCTGATCTCCGATTAGTTTTACTAGTTTATAGACATTTTAGTGAGACGTTTGTGAAATGAAAAGAAATAAAACACATTAATTTTCCTTGATAGAATGACCTTCCCATTTCCACATGGACTGTTGATTCACTAGTAATATTCAAATGACAACTTACTAACAACTAACAATTTTTGCACATTTGTACTTTCTTTCAATCACTCCACATCTCTAAAAAAAACACTGTGAATTTATGAAATGCACAGGTGAGTGGGCTTGACAAACCCCCTGTAGAAACACTCTTTTCTCTATTGAAAAAAATGACTTTGACTTGTTCTTCATTGTAGACAATATGAACACATTAACTTGGCCTGTCTGCAGTCCCGACCTATCTATAATAGAGAACGTGTGATGCATTTTGAGGCGCAAAATGTGACAATGAAGACCCCATACTGTTGTCCACCTTATGGCTAATTTATACTTCTGGATCAAGCACACATGTAGCTCCTGCACAGCCCTCATGTGGTTACCGCCAACACTAACAAGCACCTCTTAAAAAACTACACGTCACCAGGACGCATAGCACAAGCTCTGTGATTGGTCGGCATGGTAGCTATAACAAGTGTGGGCAGTGCTGAGAGCCACGAACCTGATGGAGCGAGTCTTTACAAGTGTCCCCTGAAGGAGCTCCAGATTGAAACTTATGTTTTGTGTTTACCTTATGATAAAATTGTTGCACATACTCTGAATAAGCGAGTTTTAGCTTCTTGTACAGTAAGATAGCATTCAGAAAAAATAAAACGCGAAAGAAACTTGACACAGTGGAACATAAAAACTTACTGTCAGCGAACGTTTTGGAGGTGTTATTGCAGAGCAACACAAACAGCACGCAGAAGTATAAATGCATGGCTATGTGCAAGTTAGGCGAAGTCATTCACAGCGATCACTCGACGCAGAAGTAAACCAGCATTTACGACTTGTTTGCAGGCTGTTTTTTTACGACTGTTTGTCTTTAGTGCCTAAACGTCTTTTAATTGTTAAAAAATAAAGAAATTTTAAGTGAAAAAGAATGGCAACATTATAAAGTGGTAAATGCTTTACTGTTCCAACTTTTTTTTAAATGTGTTGCTAAACCAAAATTGGAATACATGTGTATTTTAAAAAATAAAAATCATGAGAAGCACATTTAGTGATGTTTGTTGCATTGTCTGTAATGAAATACAAATCAAAGTAAATTTAGAAATCACTACTTCCTTTTTTTATGTGGTTTTCCATGCTGTTCCAACCTTTTCTGATTTGAGGTTGTACATTGAACAATGCTTAAACAAAGTTTAACATTTTCCATAGATGCCAAGAAGTGTGCTTCCTGTGCATCTACATTTAAAATAATGAACTTGAGTTTGTAAAAGAAGCGATACGTGAACAATGATTTCAATCACAAATGTCTAGCGTACACCATGCCTAGCAAGTAAGAGAACTGTTGCCGGTAGAAAAGCAAGTCTTATCAGAGTGACCCATACCATAATGTACTGTACTGAACCATATCACTCAGTTGCAATGAGAAATTGGTTGTGACAAAGAAATCTGACAAAGAAAAAAAGTAGTTTTTTTTTCCTTCATAATTTTGACGTGATACTTCAAATTGCGCGTTAAAGCAGGGTGATGTAAACCCAGCTAGTGTGTGTGTGTACTGTATGTATGTATCTGTCTGTATTAACACACACCCGTAAATGTCCAAGACTCCGATGAAAGAGTGTTGCTTGACCGTTGAATGCAGAGCTTTGTTCACGTGGTCTACAATCCAGTTGAAGAGTTTGGCGTAGATATGTTTGGCGAGAGCGTCGCGGGCGTTTATAGCCTGTAGTTTGGGTATGGGCTTTATGTATGTCTCAGTCGCAGTCTTCAACTTCTTATGACAGAGCCAATGAGACATGTCTTGATATGTTACTCCCATCAACTCACAAAACACACTCAGGTGACCGTTGTTTGGCTGGAGGGGAAAAAAGTAAAAGAATTACATAGTTATTACACAATACAATACATAGTTACTGTGAGATTTGGTGCGATGCATGTGGGTAAAAAATATCCTGAAGGTATAAAAATGCAATAAAACTTTAAATAATTTCACATTTGAAAAAACTGACAAATCTCTTAAATATTGTTCCACATTATCAACATCATATACCGTGTAAAGTTGGAATTACAGCTTTAAACCACTTGAAAATCATCAATTGTCTCTAAATATAATGGATTTATTTGGTATGAGTCTAAGTAAAATGTTGATATTTGTTTTATTACATCAAGATCTGATAACATTTCTTCCAAATTTCAAATAAAATACTGTCATCTAGACATCTACATATTTTATTTCCCAGAAAATAACAGATAGCCAAAATAACAAATCAGAATTAATAATTAGGGTAATTCCATCCAATATAGATTTATTTCTTCTGAAGATATACACTACATGATAAAACTCTTGTCACCAATCCAGGTTTTAGGAACAACAAATAATAACTTGACTTCTGGTTGATCATTTGGTGTCAAAAATGCCTTATCTGAAAGGTAAATGCCTTTAGATAAAGCTGATTTTACCAAAATAAAATATAATCATGTCTTGATTTTTAATTATTTAATTAGATGGTAAGGTCTGACTTTTGACAGAAATAATGTACAGTATAGAATATAAAGTCATGGTGCAGTGGAAAAATAACAAATATTGTTTATGACTCCTATGAGCTTGGAGGACTGCATCCATACATCTCTGCAATGACTCAAATAACTTTTTAATAAAGTCATCTTGAATGGCACAGAAAGCGTTCTTGCAGGACTCCCAGAGTTCATCAAGATTCTTTGGATTCATCTTCAATGCCTCCCCCATCACCCCAGACATGCTCAATAATGTTCATGTCTGGTGACTGGGCTGGCCAATCCTGGAACACCTTGATCTTTGCTTTAAAGACCTTTGATGTGGAGGCTGAAGTATGAGAAGGAGCGCTATCCTGCTGAAGAATTTGCCCTCTCTTGTGGTTTGTAATGTAATGGGCAGCAAAAATGTCTTAATAGCTCAGACTGTTACTTCACCAAACTTGACTGATTTCAGTGAGATTTTGGGTCCATGTGCGTTCCAATAGGTCTTCTGCAGTATTTGTGATAATTGGGATTAGGAGTTCAACAGATTATTTAATCAGAAAAATCTACCTTTTTCCAAACGATCAACTACTGTAGAAGTTGGGATTGACCATAAAATTTTTGTCAGGTAATGTATACAGTTAAGCCTGAAATTATTTATATCCCGGTAAACTCTGACTTAGAGTTAGTTTTAGTCAACTAGTAAGTTTTTTGGGGGGCTGGAAATGACAAAGGCGTTTCCTAAATGATAATAAGATGATGTACAACAAGCATCATTGTGGAAAAAAATATATATTTACATGTGAACAAAAAAATAATCAGAATTTGCTAGGGGTATGAATAACTTTGGGATTGGCTATATATAAATATATGTATATATATATATATATATATATATATAAATATATATATATATATATATATATATATATATATATATATATATATATATATATATATACACACACACACACACACACACACACACACACACACACACACACACACACACACAGTTGAAGTAAGATTTATAACCCCCCTTTGGATTATACTTTTTTAGGGACAAAATTTTTAGCCCTTTAAGCTATACATTTCTTTTGACAGTCTACAGAACAAACCATCGTTATACAATGACTTGCCTAATTACCCTAACCTGCCAAGTTAACCCAATTAACCTAGTTAAGCCTTTAAATGTCACTTTAAGCTGTATAAAGGTGTCTTGAAAAACATCATGGCAAGGATAAAAGAAATCTGTGATTAGAAATGAGTTATTGTGTTTAGAAAGGTGTTGAAAACATCTTCTCTCCGTTAAACAGAAATCGGGGGAAAAAATAAACGGGGGCTAATAATTCAGGGGGTTAATAATTCTGACTTCAACTGTATAAAAAAAAAAAAATAATAATATGTACGCTGTGATAAGCACTTTATTAATGCCTTTTAACTTTGCTCGCTTAATGTTTGACTGTGTCTTAAAAGTGTCATAAAATGCATTCAACAGTGCTGCACTTCAAAACTTTTGTTCGGTTATCTGGTTTCTGTTTGAACTTTAAAGTCAACATCAGACTCACTGGAATAATACTGCTGTCCGAGTCTCTATCCTTCACGTCTACATTTCCAAGGTGCAAAATGGAAGCCAATATCTGAAACAAGCCCATCTGATAGGACTCATTTATACCTGAAGAGAGAGAACAAAATAAAAATATGAAAAACATCAAGAAATCAGAGCAGAAATGGCGTTAGCATATTGCTAAGGTGACAAGACAGTAACATATAGGGCTGGCAGTCGATTAAAATATTGTAATTAATCACAAGATGACCATGAGTTAACTCGTGATTAATTGCACATTAATCTCACATTTTCTCTGTTCTAAATATATGTAAATCAAAGGCGGCAACAACAAAGCGTTGGTGTTGCCGAATTTGATTAACATTTAGTTTGCACTTTTTGCGGTTTTGGCTGAGCACCCAATTAAGAGAGATGTGCGTGCTTTTGTACAGGTTTTTCTGTTCTAAATATACCTTAAATTAATATAATGTTGCATCCTGAAACTGTATAACATCAGGGACTTTTGAATTGTGGTTCAACAGTAGCATTAAAAAGACCAACTAATGAAACTGGCCTAGATAAAATTAAAAATTTTAATTATTTAAAAAAAAATCATATAATTGATTAAAAATATTTTGTATTTGTATTTTGTCAATTACATCTAAATATGATACAGCATGTGCAAACAGGTTATACTGAAACCTGTATAATGTAAACATTCATTCCACACAGACTGATGTATTTTAAGTGTTTATTTCTTTTAATTTTAATGATATTGATTACAATTAATGAAAATGCCAAATTCAGTATCTGAAAACATTTGACTTTAACTTAAGACCAATACAAAGAAAGGATTTTTAGAAACATATGCGCATGCACAGCACTCAATACTTAGTTGGGGCTCCTTTTGCCAGAATTACTGCAGCAATGCGGGGCAGCATGGAATCGATCAGTCTGTGGCACTGCTCAGGTGTTATGAGAGCCCAGGTTGCTTAGATAGTGGCCTTCAGCTCTTCTGTATTGGTCTGGCATATCGCATCCTCCTCTTCACAATACTCCACTATGGGGTTCAGGTCAGGCGAGTTTGCAGGCCAATTAAAAACAGCGATACTATGGTCTTTATACCAGGAACTGGTAGCTTTGGCACTGTGTGAAGGTGCCAAGTCCGGTTGAAAATTGAAATCTGCATCTCCATAAAGTTGGTCAGCAGCAGAAAGCAAGACATGCTGTAAAACATCCTGGTAAAGAGCTTGACCTCAGAAAACACAGTGGAGCAACACCAGCAGATGACAAGCCACCCCAAACCATCTCGGATTGTGGAAACTTTACACTGGATATTAAGCAACATGGATTGTGTGCCTTTCCTCTCTTCATCCAGACTCGAAGACCCTGATTTACAACAGAAATGTAAAAATTTACTTTCATCAGAGAACCTAACTTTGGACCACTCACCAGCAGTCCTTAGCCCAGGTGAGACACTTTCTGATGCTGTCTATTTTTCAAGGGTGGCTTGACACAAGCACTGCGACAGCTTAAACCCATGTCTTGCATATGTCTGCGCATAGTGGTTTTTGATGCACTGACTCCAGCTGCAGTCCACTCTTTGTGAATCTCCACCACTGTTTTAAATGGGTTTTGTTTCACATTTCTCTCCAGGATGTGGTTATCCCTTTGCTTGTACGCTTTTTTCTACCACATCTTCTCCTTCCCTTCACCTCTCCATTAATGAGCTTGGACACAGAGCTCTGTGAAAACCCAGCCCCTTTTCCAATGACCTTTTGTGTCTTGCCCTCTTTGTGCAAGGTGTCAATGGTCATCTTTTGGACAACTTTCAAATTAGCCATCTACCCCAAGTTTGTGTAGCCTAAAGAACTAGACTGAGAGACCCTTAAAAAGCCTTTGCAGGTGTTTTGAGTTAATTAGCTAATTAGAGTGTGGCATCAGGTGTCTACAATACTGAAACTTTTCACAATATTCTAATATTCTGAGATACTAAATTTGGGGACTTCTTTAGTTTTCATCAAAATTCTAAAATTTAAAAAAAAAACATAAACTCTTGAAATATATATGTCTGTGTGGATTAAATGTACAATATATGAAGAAGTTTCACTTCTTGAATGAATTAGTGAAATAGATAAACTTTTTTAAAGATATTTTAATTATATGGCCAGCATCTGTATATACTCCAATTAAGTTGTTTTTTTAACATGTTACACTCTATGCTACAAGAGGAAATGTTTCTTTTAGTCTGACCTAGCAGTATGAAGGCGTTCCTGGTGGTAGACATCTCCTTGGCATCATCTACTCCATCTATGACTGGATTCCTGCCCTGTTTTGTGTAGTGGAAATCATTAGCCTTTCCTGCAGAGAAACACACACATATATAAACTGTTATTACAATATACCATGCAAATGCTCAAGATACACAATGCAGACTTTTTTGAAAGATAACCTTAAGGTTTGATTATCATTGAACAAAACTAAATTATAAACTAAAACTAATGCTGCTTCTTATTGCTACTTCAATTACTTCGACAACAAATAACCAACACACCTGTATACACTTTGAAAGTCTTGTCAGTTTAAACTCCTGACATGCCGTTTTCTGAGTATGAAGAGTTTGTCGTTACTCCCTTTTTGATTTTGAATTTAAGTTATTTTTAATATGATTAAAATTATTTTTAAGTTTATTTAATGTGATTTTAAGTTGAATTATATGCTACTCATAAGCTGTACATTTAAAATGAGAAATTAATTTAATGTGAGAACAGATTACGTTAATATACGCACCTATTATAAGCCGAAAGAAAGCAAGTTGATGATGTGTTTACATGCAGAGTAGAATCTGTGTAACCTAAAGGGCAACAATCTAGTAAAGTACTTCACTTACATCATGTACTCTGAACCCTGACTAACAAGCTATGAGTGTAAAGCACTGATAGAATGCATACAAGTTGTGTGAGTATTTTAAAACGTTACATTCTGTAGTGCATTAAGTTATTTTTAGTGGTGTAAAGGATCACAAATCTCACGGTTCGGATCCCATTATGGTTTTTTAGTCACAGATCGGACCATTTTTTTGAATCAGCCAAAAAGGGAAAAAGACAAATGGATTTTTGCTTTCCATTTATTACAAAAACCGTACTGCAAGAAACTTTTAGTTTTGTTAAAAATACAATGAAGAAATAATCAGCTCAATAAAAAAAAAATATTCAGTTACTGTGAAAAATTCACGGTTACAACTACTGTTGCTGATGACGCTAAATGTAGCAATCTAACATTACAATTTGTACAACCCACATTTATTTTTAGTCTCATTTTCAATAATAGATTCTGTTATTCAGTTAGATGTGTCATTTTCGAAGAATTATTCAGTGGCATATTTTTAATGGCTGGTTAAATAATGTAATTGCAGCGTACAGATTTTATTTTTAAGTGCCATTAAAAGCATATGATGGCAATTTTACTCTTTACCATAAACATCAGTATTTATAGCTAAACTATAAACTGTTATCCCAGTACTTTTGTATTATTTGAATATTTATAAACTAAAGACTGATTCTCTTTCTTGAATCATTAGCATTTTTCAAGCACATATTTAAAAGCAGCGATTCAAAGGATTAATAAACATGATGAAAATCACCATCATTTATAATTTATGTTGCATGGGTGGTGAGATCCCAATCTTTTAATGATTAATCGTGCAGATTACACGTAATGCATTGATGCAGGCTAAACAAGTCGTGACAGAAAACACTTTAATAACCTAAGAAACCCAGCACATCCAGAAACTTCTTCCTTCATCATTATATTTTACAGGAAAGCCTAAATGCTTTTGTATGTTTAATTTAAATGACGCGAGAGGCGATCTCTCTGTGATCGTTATAAATTTAGTAAAGTAAAAAAAGTATTAATCCACAGGTCATGTGTGTTCAGTGATTCGTACGGATCACAATTCGCGGTTCGGATCAACCATGATCCCCTAGTTATTATTAGGGTGCTTTCACATCTGTGGTTTGGTTCATTTGGTCCAGACCAAGGACAAGAAATGATACATTGTAGCATTTGTAGCCGTTTTTTGGGTGCTTTATACCACACTGATGGCTTTGGCCTAAACCAGTTGAAAAGAACCAAAATGCAGTCATCTGACAAAATCCACATCACTCATTGGCCAGATGATATTGAACATACTTCCTAAACTGATTTTCAATTGGTCAAAATTAACATGTGGGGTAAATGCCAATGGAACTCCCTAGCGCAGGCTGATTGTATCCCTGCCCATAGTATACTATATAGTTTGTACACATTACTTTAGACAAACTATACATTTCGAGAATGAAGCACGACTGCGGCTAGAAAACAAAGTTTTGATGCATTGCAAACGACGAAGAAGTCAAGTCACTTTAGGAGGAGGCATGAATTAATATAACTGCGACATGGTCATTTATAGGAATTATTACCAACGATCCATCAGGCAATGTTTTTTTCCCTCTCTCTCTTTTTCTCTTTCTCTCTCTGTCTCTCTCGTTCTCTCTGTTTAAAACTGTTGGTAAAGCGCTGTCAACAAATTGTCAAACAATTTTTCCTCCACACCCCATAAGATGGCAGTTCTAGTTTGGATCATGTTCTCATCACAAACGAACTGCTCCTGGGTTTGTTTGAAAGTGTACCGATACCACCTGTTCAAGGATGTCTCAGTACAGTTTTTTGGTCCGCTTTTGGTGCGCACTCGAGTGTGATTGCTACATTACATTACACAAACCTGCCCAAATTAACCACACCAAGAGGGAAAACGAACTCTAGTGTTATTCAACCAAACTAAATAAGGCAGGTGTGAAAACACTCTTAAAAGCCATTTAGCAGGACAGAAAGTACAGTAAGTACCCTTCATGTTCTCATCAGTGACTTGCAGTCTAAACAGTCTCTTAGTCATTGTGTGTATCGATTTTACATCTTCTTGAACACTTTTAATGCTTCCACACTGTACACGTTGGCTCCATTTATAAATCGTCCATGTATATGTGTGATTTGATTGGATGGGAATCACAAGACTGATTATTCTACCTAGCCAATCACTGTAAAAGAGAATTTTGTTTTTTACATAAATAGTGACACCCTAAAATGCAGCATAAAAACGAACAACTACTCATTTATAGTTGAGTATTTGCAATGCGTTACTTTACCCCATTGCTTACCATGATACATCAAAAGGCAAAATATTTAGTCTCTGAATGTAAACAGCCGGCGAAGAAATTGAGTTCACATCAGTGTTAGATCTGCTAAACAATGTCTCTGGGGTATAAAGATATCTCAAATGTAGCTAATCGGTCTTATCAGAAACGATGTGCGGATTAAAAGAGCATTAATTGTGCAGGAAACCCCATAACCATTAATGAACAACAATTCGGCCAATAGTACTACACAAATCTGCATTAATAAAGTGCTCTTATTCACAGAGATGAACCATAAAATAGAAAACCTTCTTCATGGATTAAACCAATGATACACGGTTGCTTGGTAACAGAGGTCTTATTGAGACACACACATACACGCTCACATTAACTGGGCGTCAGCTGAGCAGGAAGTCAGCTGAGTAGGCAAACAGCAGGACCGACACAGAGCTAGCAGTGTGTGTGTGTGTGTGTGTTCAGAGCAAGTGGTTGAAGCAAACAGAGTAGAGATGATAGGGAGAGGGGAGTGTGCATAACTAAACTACAGGAGCTACAGTATTCGTATTCGTATGCGTGTGTGTGTTTGCGTTGCGTGTGTGTGTGTGTGTGTGTGTGTGTTAAGACCTGCACAGCTCGTCTCTCAGCAGGGCTGCTCTGATAGCCGCTCTACACGCTGTGCCAACATGAACACACTGTAATCAGACACGTTACCCACACACACTCTCACACATTAACTTGGATAATAATTTGGGGACATTTCATTCTTAAATATTTTAATATGACACTAATTATATTCAGTGGTTACAAACCTTTTTGAGTCAAAGGAATTGTATGGTTCACAATTTTAGTTACAAGCTCCATGAATTTTCTGATTGGGATTTAAGAAAAATCTAATAAACATAAAGTAAAAATCTTAAACTATACTTTTAATTTAATTTTTTGGTTAATTTTAAATAATTTCAAATGTATAGTTCCCCTAAAAATGACAATTCTGTCATCGATAACTCCTTTGATTTGTTCCATTAAACACAAAAGAAGATATTTTGAAGAATGTTGGAAACCTAAAACTACTACCTTCAATATTTGTTTTTCTGACTTTAAAATATCTGTTTGTGTTCAAAGGAGTAAAAACTAAAGCTAAACTGGTTTAGAATTAGTGGAGGGTGAGTAAATGATGACAGAATTATATTTTTCTGGGTGAACTATCCCCCACTGAAGCTCCCTTGGATTTGTTAAGCAACCATAGAGGGCCACTATACCTGAATCCCACAATGTTAAAAAAAATATGCAGATTTGTCTGCATCAAATTGAAATGATGTACATACATACAGTATACAAGCATACAAATGTCTAGTGCCTACGTTGTTGTAATGTATAAATAACAATGTTTTAATAACTATTTTTAAATAACTATGTTTAATAATAATAATAACAATAATTCCTTACATTTATATAGCGCTTTTCTGGACACTCAAAGCGCTTTACACAATGGGGGGGGGGGGGGGGGGGTGAATCTCCTAATCCACCACCAATGTTTAAATGTTTAAATAGCTTTTGTTAAAATGTCAAAACATTTGTGAAACCCCATTGTCATTCACCATAGCAGATTAAAAGGCTCATTAAAACTAATACAATATTTAAAATATAACTTTTTAAAATTATATTTCATAAATTCTTCATATATAAGTTTAAAGATACTTACATAACTTTTCAGAGGTGAAAAATGTATAAACGTATTACAGTGTGTGTATCAGAGATCATTTATCTTAAATCCATCTTACTTTTGGATAAAATGTTAAAAATACATTAAATTAAAACAAAAATGTTTGTAACGACTACGGAAAATGAGTAAAATGATGTCATCTCTAAATTAGACTAATCTGAACAGTCACATTAAAAGCAAGTTTTTGTAAACTAAGTAGACTTTGTGTAAGAAAAATAGATTAGTGTGTAATATTGACTGGAATGTTTGAATTTAAGGGAAATGGAATGTAGTGGTTTATTTAAAGATTCAAGGAAATGAAATTGTAGCACTGTTGTGATGTCATTTTGAAGTCAAGCCAAAAAAAAAATGAAGCTTGTATTGGGAGTGAAAATGATACTATGGCTGTTAATGTTAAGGATAAAGTACATCAAGGAGGTTGTTTTGCAGAATAAAGGCTTATCTGCAGTTTATTAGGACTGAAGAGCTTCATTTTTTAAAAACAAATATCCTGGTTGTACTTTATCTCACTTATTACATGGCTACTTGCCACAAAATATAAACATTAGACCCAAAACATTGTGCCTTAATAGTTTATAAACTCTTTAATTAAACGAAAACAGCAGAATAAAATTAATGGAGTACACACTAACCTGCACATTATTCTTTCACAAGATGGCGCAAAAAAGTCAAAAACACAAAGCTGACAGAAACAAATTGGTTGAATGGAGCATAGATTAACCTACATATTATTCATTGACAAGATGGTGCAAAAGGGTAAAGAAAACACAAAGCTGACAGAATCTAAACCGGCTGAATGGAGCATAGATTAACTTACGTATCATTCTTTCACAAGATGGCGCAAAACAGTCAAAAACAAAAAGCTGACAGAAATAGAACTGGCTGTAGGAGCATAGATTAACCTACATATCATTCATTGACAAGAAGGTGCAAAAGAGTAAAGAAAACACAAAGCTGACAGAATCTAAACCAGCTAAAAAAGAGAATAGACAAACTTACGTATCATTCATTTACAAGATGGTGCAAAAGAGTAAAGAAAACACCAAGTTGACAGGATCTAAACCGGCTGAATGGAGCATAGACTAACTTACGTATCATTTATTCACAAGATGGCACCAAACAGTCAAAAACACATAAAGCTGACAGAAACGTAAGCGGCTGAATGGAGAATAGACTAACCTACATATCATTCATTCACAATATGGCAAAAAACAGTCAAAAACACAAAGTTAACAGAAACTAAACCAGCTGAATGGAGCATATATTAACCTATGTATTATTTATTCACAAGATGGCGAAAAACAGTCAAAAGCAGTCACAAGAGACAAACAGATACATATAAATGTAAATGTAAGTATATAGATGTAAATGTCGGCATATTCACTAATAGTCAGTGTGATTAAAAGATCACTTGATGAGCCTTTGTTATTAAGCAGTTGTTATCTTGAAATAACACACTCTGGAATGTCAGGACTGACCAATCAGAATCGAGTATTGCAGACAGTCGTTTAATAATAAGGGATAATGTACATCTAGCCGGTTGTTCTTGCACTAAAACCTGAGAGCTTGTCACCTTGTTGTATAAGCCAAAGGGGTTTATTTACAAAAGCAACTAGCTAGATGTACATTGTTCCACTTGCTAAATGGCTACTTGCCACAAAAGTAAACAACTAGACAAAACCATTAATCTGATCTTTAATAATCTACTACAGTAGCTCTTTATTTAAATGTTAGCAAAAGAAAAAAAACACTACACTAACCTATTTAAATAGTATATTACCTGTTTCACTCTATTATTATTTAGTCACATGATGGTGCCAAACCGTTAGGAACAGTGGCATGACATAGCAGCATATACTTATGCATATGAATATATTCACCAATGGTCAAAGATGATTTGAAGTTTCCGGATGAGCCTGTGTTATTAGTGTCAGTGTTTGTTATCTGGGAATATTTGTGGCTACTCATAGGTACTGTAAGTGTGGTACAGCTCACTTCTGGAAAGGCAAGGTTTTTACCCTTGAGTAAAGAATGAAAGAGATCTACAACTGGAGTAAACGATGTCCTTCATAGCAGAGAAGGTGGTGATCAAGAGTCTTGAATGAAATAGCAGGGCATGTTAGCGTGTTTGGCTCACCGAGTTTCAGGGCTTTAAACTCCGGGAGGTGAGCCGATGCACAGAGCTGATAGAAGATATGATAATTCCTCTCTTCATCCGCCTGGAAAACAAAAGTACATAGGAAAAAAACAAAAATAGCATATAAGATTATTATTATTAACAGGGGGTTACATCTGCTGTTTTTTGACACAAGAAAAAGTAGCAGGAAGTAACTGTTAATATTAGCTATTCATTTACTAACATGAACAAATATAGGCGATATATAATTGTTATGATGCAATAGACCGGTAACAATCTCACCACCAAAAAAAAATAAATAAATAAAATAAATAAATAAATAAAAAAAAATTTTTTAAACATAACAGATTTAGATTTAGACTCATTTTTAATAACTGATTTTCTATGATGACAGCACATTATATTTTACTAGATTTTTTCAAGATACTAGTATTCAGCTTAAAGTGACATTCAAAGGCTTAATTAGTGTAATTAGGCAAGTCATTGTTTAACAGTAGTTTCTTCTGCAGACAATCAAAAATATGTATTGCTTAAGGAGGCTAATAATATTGAAATCTTAATTTGAAAATCTTAATGAAATCAATAATTGAATATAGTATTAAAATCTGCTTTTATTCTAGCCAAAAAAAAAACAAATAAGACTTTCTCCAGAAGAAAAAATATTATAGGAAATACTAAGAAAAATTCCTCTGGTAAACATCATTTGGGAAATATTTATATATATATATAAAAACTAAATTCACAGGAGGGCGAATAATTTTGACTTCAACTGATAATCGTTTTGAATAATCGTGATTACAATTATGACCAAAATAATCGTGATTATGATTTTTCCCCATGATCGAACAGCCTAATAATTTAGTATGGCCCCTAAACGATGTTACAAAAATGTAAATGGCCCTTTATAGAAAAAGTTCCCCACCCCTGATTCCGAACACCGTTTAAATCACTCACTCCTGTCCGCAATCTGGCAATCTGCGTTTTTGTTTGTTTTGATCCAGGAGTGCACTACCTAGTTCAACCACTGGATGTCAAATTTACATACTGCACCTTTAATAAAAAATACACTAACTGCAAAATATACAATACAGAGAAAAACTAAATCCAAAACTACTTCACTGATTATTGTCACACTTGTTAGCAATCAAGAAACAACTTAAATAGGACCTGCCTGACAAAGCGAAGTAGACATCCTAGTAGCTAGATATCATGCCGAGATCCAAAGTAATTCAAAAACACATGCAAAAGAAAATAATTGAGGAGTGATTGGTTGACCAAATATTACCCCAAGAGTGCAGGAACAACTCATCCAAGAAGTCACAAAAGACCCCACAATAACATTGAAAGAACTGTAGGCCACACTTGCCTCAGTTAAGGTGAGTGTTCATGACTCCACCATAAGAAAAAGACTTGTCAAAAATGGTTTATCTAAAAATGATATTATTTTATTAATATTTACATTTGTTTGATGATGTTAAACATTGAAGTGTGACAAATATCAGTAAGGGGGCAAACATTTATTTTTAAACCACTGTATACACACATTTTTTTTTTCTTCTGTATGCCACACCTAACTCGTGTGGAATTCCCCATGCACAACAGTGGCCTGTGTGAGTATGTTACATAAAGCTGAACAGACATGTTTAACTCCATTATCCTCATTCCTGTCCTATTTTAATCTCCCTAAAGCTTCCCAGAAGGAGAAAACCCCTCTGAATTCCAGCCCTGTTTCTCACACATTGGTCAGACTAGGTGAGTTATGTGGGCAGAATTGTTTTTTGGGAACTTAAATCAACTCTTTTACTGACATGAGCTTTACTTTAGTCAAAACAAACTAATGACAACACAAATGATTAAATTGTTTAAATACAAATGAATCAAATGTATATAATGACAATTAAAATAATAAAAAACTCAGTTGTATATTAACAATTAAATCCTAAATTTTTAGTGATGCATTAGTTTTAATATTAATCAATGAAGAAAAGTACAGTATAAATAATATTTAATATATTGCACATATTTAGTTAAATGAAGCTGTCTAGATTGAATTATTTATGCAAACTTAATGGGGTATAAATGCCTTTTTAACGTTAATATCTCTGAAAAATGATGTTATATGTTGCTTAGATAGCTAAAGGACTAAGTGGAGCAACAATATTGTGAAGTACTACACAAAGGTACACCGAGGTACAATGTTGACTGAGAGCAACAACTACAGTAGATTAGAGATGTGAATTTTGTTAGGAATAAAATGCATATTCACGTTAAAATCTAGATAAATCTGTTAGTTCAAGTGATATGTAAAAAAGCTTTAATAATTTCTCTAAATTCTTTTTTTTTTCAGAATAAAAACATTTTAATTTGTCCATTGTGGTACATAGTTTCCTTGAAGCAAACAAATTGATATTTTTGTTAAAAAATAATAATAAAACAAATAATAATTTTATACATTTTTTCAATGTAAAAAATAAATATGGAGATTTAAGTTAAAAATGGCAACTGTGGTTGCCAAAATATTACTGTAAAAAAATACAGTAGGCAATAGTAGTAATACATTAAGATGTTACCGCAAATTACCGTATTTTATTCTTTACAGTCATATCCTACACATACCTGTACCAATGAAGTACCTACGTATATAATCACAACATACTTACATCTACATAACATAGTTTTGTTACCCTGACAAAAACACAATCATAAGCGTGTGGATGAGAAAGTCATAAAATGAACTAAAGCTAATAGCAAACAACTTATCCCACAAGCAGAGAAACATATGAATATATAGAAGTTGTACAGTGTAACTCACATGACTACTGAACACCATCATGGTAGCACATGATACTAAAGTAATGCAATAAAAAAGTTTATATCAACAATACATTTAAAGGGCCACGAAACCCTTCTGTTTGAGCAGGGTGTTTTCACACCTCTAGTTTGAAAAAGTCAGGAAAGTGGGTGTGTCTAGTTCTGTTTAGGAGAGAAATATTAAAGGTGCATAAAAACAAAATTTGCATAAAAATAGGAGTTTTGGTTTAGGCAATCTGATTTTTACAGAGGCAAAACAAACACACACACAAGGAGGAGAACGACCTGCCTGCTCTGACGACGAAATGTAAGTATTTTACGTTTTGTCAGTTTAGTGGCTAATTCATACGAGTTCGTATGAGTTCATACGTACGAAAAAGTATGATTTTAAAAAGGAGGTGTTGATGAGCAAATTGTACTAAATTGTACGAATTAGATTGTACAAATTCATACCAATTAGCCACTGAATCAAAAAGTTACGAATTGCCATAAGATTGCGTTGGAACAACATTGACTGTTTACATGGACATCAGTAATCAAATTATTTGCCAAATTATTAAATGGTGGACTTTAACTGCAGTTTGGCACTTTCATTCAAGAACATTTCATTCATGCCCCTCATGACAAACGAGATTCGAGGAACTGCTGTAAGCGTGTATTTTTAATCCAATGTTTGATACCGCACGGCGAATGAGAGAAAAAACCCTCTGCATTTCTCTGTAGCTTAGATGCACTTGGTAGGTAGCGTCAGAAAGCCGTGTGTTATTCCTGTCACAAAATGCGGCGACAATTCTACACAACGGTAATAGTTTGATTGGGGTGTTTACATGTTTACATTCAAAGACCAGCATTTACAGTGGATCTTTCAGTCCATAATATTGGAGAGATATTAACATACTGCGAAATTTAGTAACTTCGAAATCATTTTAACTACATTTTTTAAACACTGAAAGAGTACTGCTGGCAATTCAAACTAACTTTGCCATCTGAATAAACAAACAAAGACCACTGATCGCTAAATTACCAAATCTGTAGAGATAGGACAATCAACACTAACTGGAACCGCATTGTTATTAAAAGGAGACGAGCGGCAAATCTGGATTTCACCACTTCCAGATGAATAAAAGCTCTCGGGTAAAAATGTTCCTCAGACACGTATTTTTGGTGCACTGTAATCCACACGTGATTCCAGCTGCGCTCTCATTGCGGGAAAATAAAAACAAACACTTTGTTGCAGCAAATTATAAAAGCAACACTGGCGACCCGTATCTCCAAACAATTCTTCTTCTATCACTTGTTTTGGCACACAACGTGGCGTCTCTCTGCTGTCTGAACACTGTACAGGTAAAAACAGTCTTTGAAGCCATCATGCATATTAATGAAGTTGCACCGCATACACAATAGAGCGCGCTGATTGGTTTGAACCAAGCCTCTCATGAATTTATGCTGCACACTCAAAGACGTCACAAAGTACTCCCAGGTACAGACAGCCAGTCTAAACTCTGGAATACACGCAAGTATCTAATCGGCGTGACGCAGCTTCAAAAATTCAAACCGGAGGAACGAATTTGCTCGAAATAACGCAAAAACAACCAATTTTCACTTTTTTTGTGAAATATATGTGTCCTAATAGTGTTTTTAGCAGTGTGGGACACATATATGACTGTGAAAAGCTCAAAAAATGTGTTTTGGTGTTTCGTGACCCTTTAACATAAAACTCTAAATGTACAAAACTGATGAAAAACTAAAAAAAAAAAAAAAAAAAAACATAGTAATGACAACAAAAAACATAAAAATGGAAGTGACATGCAGGGAACTCTGGGAATGTAAATGTATGGTTATTCTCTGTATGCATTAAGGAAACTTATTGTTAACCAGGTTATGTTTTGTTACTGGAGTATTTTTACAGTTTTTTTTTTAACCATTGGAATTGCAAACCTTTTTTTACGAACCCTACAGGGTTAAGTAATATCCAGAGATTTTACTAAGGTAATATAGTATTTATTTTGGTTTTAAAAAGCCAATGAATGATTTATAGAGTGTATGAACATGAAAGGAGACAACAGAAAGAAACACAAAGATCAACTGCATTGTCATCAGCAGATCTACACCAAGAGAACAATTAAAAACATTTTTACCTTCAAACCAAACTTACGATTACAGACATTTAACTGAATTCCCATTTGGCCAGTGAGCTTTAACAAACTGCTCTGTGAGGGTAACAGTTAATTAATTTATAATTAGTCACTAAGCAAAGTGTTATCAGTTTTT